ATTGTATGATCCATCAACAGGTATTTGGACAACTACTAGTAACATGACTAATGCAAGAACTGAGCATACAGCATGTGCATTATCAAGTGGAAAAATATTAGTTACTGGTGGAGCTGGTATTAGTGGTGCTTTGAATAGTGCTGAACTGTATGATCCATCAACAGGCACTTGGACAACTACTAGCAACATGGTTGCTACACGATACTGGCACACAGCATCTTTATTATCAAATGGAAAAGTGTTAGTTACTGGTGGATGGAATGGTAATATTGTTTTAAATAGTACTGAGCTGTTTGATCCATCAATAGGTACTTGGACAACTACTAGTTACATGACTGATGTACGACAATTTCACACAGCATCTGTATTATCAAGTGGAAAAGTATTAGTTACTGGTGGTTGGAATGGTACTAATGCTATAAATAATGCAGAATTATATTAATTATTTCAAACAAATTAACTATCAATTATATTATTCTTTTTCTTGCAAGTAATGCGAATTCCAAACAATACTTTAGTTAGAAAAAATGTCAGCTTGTGTCGTTCACTAATTGTTTCCTTCCACATTTTTACTGAATTATCATTTACTTTAATATTCCATCTCAAACTAAAACAAATATCTTTGTTTTTCTACTCTTATCTATCAGTTTATTATGATCAACAAAACTTACAATTGATACGATAACTTTACTTAACCTTTCAAATGTTCTCTTCGTTTTGCAGTGTAGTTACTCATAATATTTAATTGTTTTGATAGTATTGATCGGATTTAGAATATATGATCAGTGAAACATTTTGATTACCAAAAGACTTGGAAGTAAGTTCATGAATGACGGAGATAAACATATCTGTAAACAACAGATGATCTAAAGCAAAATTTATAGTCATATCAGATATACGAATTAATGAAGATGAAGACGAGGTAAACAAAATACTGACATCCGGCTTGCCTTATATTTATATGAATATGTTTATTAACGAAAAAGAATAAAAAATAAGATAATTCCTGTATAATTACATAGCGCCGGTTATCAGCAATTTCGAGTATTTTCTGCTGACATTCATTTCTGGGCTTATGATCCGTCTAAACGTAGTTGTGATGGATGTCGAATTAAATTCTATATCGAGTAGTGCAATTTTTGAGGGGATTCACTAACCGAGAAGGTGCTCAAGGTTCAGTTTTTTATGGATATGAATGTGGCTGTAGACCTTCTTCAATATTCATATTCACACCATCAGTAAGGAAACACCAAATCTTTTGATAGGTTCACATAATTTGTCAGAATTGAATAATTTATATAATATTGTGATATAATCTTCTTCATTCAAGAACAAACTTTTTTAAATTTAGACTTTTGATAATTATTTGATTAAAAATAAAAAAAAGCATAAATCAAGTATCACACGAATAAGGCAAGAATACGAATGTTTTTCTCACAGATCAAGTTAATTACAATGATAAACAATTAAAAATAACATAAGCAATACATTAAAATAACATAAAAGATTTTTTTTCTTCTAATTAATTTTTCAGACATTATATAAAATGAAAAATAAAAATAAAGTTTTTGTCAAAAGAATTGAAAGATCTCTCGAAATATTAGTTTGTTTTTGAATTAAAATGAAGGATAAAATAATTAATATCATTTTCACTCGAAATTCTTCCGACATTGAACAATATATAACAAATGTTATAAATAATGAAAAAATTTATTAATACAAATTGCAACTAATAAAAAACCTTGAAGAAGTTTAACAAATAGTCTACATCACCTGGAGAACGATGTAAATTATAGAAGTTGTCTCTGGCCTATGTAACATGAATTTAGATCAACATCCAATTCATAAATAAATAGTGGAATAATTTGTTTCATTTTGTAGGATGATTTGCTAATAGATTAGTACCACTGATATTCCATTTGTGTTCAACTCGTCTATACACAATTGAAATAGATATTGTGTATTTGTAAACTAATGTCAAATCAATAAACATGACAGCTAGTGATGAACTTTGTAGGAAAAAAGAAAATTGGAGTACACAAAATGATTATGAATCAAATTCGCTGATATATTTCTCGATTCCAATTCATCTTAGAATATTTTAAAAACAGATTTGTTTCACGTGTAGCACGGATGAAAACTGCAAGTAATGTAACTTCTCTATTTTAATTGAAAGAAAATTTCTAGTTTTAGTAATTTTATTGAAATATTGAAATAACAAAATATGATTATATGAAATGATAAATTCACTAGTTTTGACGTTGTTGAGCTTCTAACCATTCATTGAATTCATTCTCTAATTGAGGATCAGTATTATTTTCTGGAGGACGACGAGGAATAGATAATAATGATTGCTGTTGTTGATAAGAAACTATTCTTCCAGGACTGTATGGTAAACTATTAGAAGCATAAGGTGTTAGCTGAAACGACGATTGACTGTCTGTAGGTCGTCGTTGATGCGGATGAACTTCTTCATCACAGTCATACCAATTGTAAGTCATACATATTGTTGTTGGAATCGGGATAATACAAAAACAAAGAAATATTTTGCAGTTGGAACATGAAGACCGTGTCAGAGTATAAATAAGTGCTGTTGTAAAAAGTATAATGGCGTATATTATATGTATTAAGGTTCGAATAATGAGTTCGTTTCGTGTGAGTCTTCGAAGCGTAGTACTTATGTTGAATAAAAGAAGGGCGAGAGCAAGAACAAAGGCTGCAGTCAAAAAGAAGATTGATACTGATTCAACATCTGCATGACAAACGATTGAATAGTTTCCAGTAGAGTTTTGTTGATAAGAGCAATTAGCAAAGACTCTAGACCATGTTTGAGGTTGTTTTTGTGTTTGATTATTTTGTGAATCGAAATTTTCAGGAGGGAATGCTTCGTTGAAATGCATTCCAAATTGAACTAATAGATACAAAAATGGAATTAAATCGATCAAAGAAAGAATATTAGCTAAACAACAGCAGATATTTTCTTCCTCTTCGTCCGTTGGTCTTCTATAAACTCGTCCGTGCATATTTGTATTATACATTAGAATGTTTTTAGTTGAATATAATATGTTTCAATGATCAAAATGAAATAACATTGTTGCTAATACAATGATATAAAAGAAAAGAAGAGGGCGCTTGATTTGATATATGCATTCATAATGAACATATCATTTGACCGGATGACCGATGTAGAATGCATTTTCTTCAATATTTTCCATTACTTCTATCGACTATAGAGTCGATCAGTTTGATTCAGAAGAATTTATTTTTTTGATTAACATAGTGTTTCATTAAGTCACCACCAGGAAACACAAATCATGAACCAATACGATCCTTGATAACTAAAACCTTTTCCACCTGTGCATAATGCTCGAAAATTGGTTAAAGCATGAGTATATATGAAATAAATGTCAATATCTTTATCAACAAAACTCGAATATTTTTCATAATTATATCAAATGACTAGTTTAATTAGAAATAATTTTCTTTTTTATAGTATTGCAAAATACCATCTTGAGAGTGTGAGTGTGGGTGTTGATATGATTTTCATGTATACTATATATTCAAATCTACGCCTACACTCTCACTCTTGTCTGAAAATATTCAAATAAAATAAATTTGATCTTTTTTTTATTTTTATTTTAATGAATTATTTATTTTTATTTTTAATATTTAAATTTAAAAATAATTTTTAGATAATAATGATAATATTGTAACAGATCTTGATAAATTAATAGAAAATTGATATTTTGAATAGTTTTGTTAATAGTTATTATAAAATTAACTAAAGCTTTCAGCACTTCAAGTACCGTCGTCAGTAGAATGTTAGAATGCAGTAAAGTAACATTATAATTACAATTGTGTATCACTGAATTTAATCAAGGGTGGGTGTGGGTGGGTATAGATAGTGTATTCGTGCCACATGTACGCCTACACCCACACCCTCAACTTGTGATGAATTTTCTTATCGAAAAAAAAATTAAAAAAATATTAATAAATATGAATCCTTCCTTATTCGATATTTAGATACTCTATACAAACAACAGACTTATCTATGTTAGGATAATACAGCAATTTTGTTATGGAAATTGCTCAGTTATTTCATGTTTAGTATCCATTTCGTGCAAATCTTTCCTAAGAGAAGAAATAACATCATATATTCGTCCCGGTCAATAGATATGATTAATGTTTCCGTTTATTAAAGCATAATTTGCAAAACGAAAAAGAAATGACTTCGTATTTATCCAGAAGTGTCTGTTTTGATGATTACTTCAGCCAAGACTGGAATATGATCGGATGGATAAAAACCATCATTTGAATCGGTTAAAGCACCATGTTGTAGAACTTTAAAATGTGATGTTGAAAAAATATAATCAATACGATCACCCATCTTATTCGAAACATCAAATGTTGAAAAAGTACCATTGGGACCACAATGAGGAATTTCTGATGTAGAATAAGAATCTTTAAAAGCTGTATTTGTAATTATAGTACGATAAGGATCTGAATTTGGCGTTGCATTTAAATCACCAGTGAATATGACAGGTGTTGTAGTTCCAGCAATAGTTTTTATTTGATTTAGAATTAAATGAGAACTTTGAAGACGAGCATTTTCACCTTTATGATCATAATGTGTATTGAAATGATATAAAACTTGTTGAGTTCGTTTATCACGAATTTGTATCCAACTACATATACGTGTTATAGCTGCATCCCAACCTTTACTTCCAACTATAGTCGGTGTCGGTGAAAGCCAAAATGTACCACTTTTAAGTAAATCAAAACGATCTGCTCGATAGAATATTGCTGAATATTCACCTCTCGTGTTACCATCATCACGACCTACCCCATAATGACGATAGTTAGGTAACGCTGTCTGTAAATCAGTCATTTGTCTTGCCAATGCTTCTTGAATACCCAATAGATCAGGTGTTCGATCTTTTATTAATTGAAACACATTAGCTTTACGATTGGACCATTGATTTTGTCCATCAGCAGTAGTATCATATCGAATATTGTACGTCATAACACGCAATGCAGTAGCACCACCTTTGGATATCATTGCTGAATGAAGAAAATCCTCTCAGAAAAATGCACTTAAATTTTTGACAAATACTATTCTTACCACATTGTTGCTGTGAATGAACTATGGAAGTAAAACAAAGAGCAATGATTAGAAGAAACGACATTATTGTATGAAAGAAATATGACTGGTGTATCGTTGAAAAACTTATCAATTGCAATTAAATCGAATTTTGTTTTTTTGTTTTTTCAAATGAAGATTAAATATGCTTTTCGAGTGGGATCAGATTTCCAAAAATTTGATATTAATATTGACACATTTTCACTCGTAAGCTTTTAATTTTATATCAATATCTTTCGATTTCTTATTTATTAATAATTCAGGCCTCGCAACCGGTATACTTTCCTGATTTTTTAAAAACGTCCTGTTTTTCCTGCTTCTGACCAAAAATCCTGAATTTCTCCTGATTTTTCATAATTCATTCGCATAGTCATTATATTTCCCCTATCATGGCATATTATAATATTCTTAACTTAATTTATTTTCAAAATGTATATTAAAATATTATATATCATACAATAACTTTAACAAAAACAATACAATTTTTCTCAATCGTTTCAAATTTTCACTATTCTCACGTAATTGAGCTTTCAAAATAGATAATTTAGCACCCGCAGCAGTCATAAGTAATTCAGCTATACCAACATCATTAAAATCTTTACTATTCACGATGGTGGCAAGTCTTGTACTTCTTTCTTTCAACATTTTCGTTGCACTCACTAAATCTTGTTGTAAAATGTTTTGGTGGTTTACTAATTCGATTTGTTTTTCTCCTAAATGTCCATGTAATGATCGGTACATTATTTTCTTCTTCATTTAAAGCGTTGTGTCTATGATATATTCATTATTGTTTTTTTTCCTTGCTCCTCTCTATGATTACATCAAAGTATTAAACACTATCCAGTCAGATTTCTTCTCATACTTTGATGATTTTTCATCATCATACACATTGGACAATGGTATGAAAAAATGCTATAAAAATAGTGAATAGTAATTGCAAATACTTACTATCATCATGTGTTAAAGGGTGGGTGTGGGTGTGGGTGGGTGAGGGTGAGGGTGTGGGCGTGGTTGATAAGTATAGCAAATACAGAATACACCCACACCCACACAAATTTAAATTCAAAGGTGATACACTCAAATAAACGGTAGTACACTTTTCTAAAATAAATTGTAGTTTCTAGAAAAAGTGTTTTTTTAACATGAAAGTAAAATGAAAACATGCAAAAAAAAGAAGGATATATACTATTTCGAAAATACAGATTACATTCTTCGCACCACTCTCTTCTCTCTTTCTGTAATGATGCGTGCCATTCTTACTTTTATTCGACTCATTTTTCTTGTGGTGACGAGTGATCATACTGATAAAGCATTTACATAAAATTTTCAGTGGCGCAGGTCTAAGAGAAATATGTTTTATTCATTCTGAAAAACTATTCTGGTTGTCAACAACTTTTTTGTTTCAAATATTTTATCTTATAAAAATACTTTAATTATCAGTTTGAGTGTTATACATTTAATATTCTTTATTACCTATTCTAAATATATGAAAAATGTTCGCTCTCTAATTTAAACTCGTTATTGCATGTTTCTATTTGATTCTGCTTTGATATATTAATACCTATTCTCATGACCATCACCCATAATAATACATAGCTAGTTCTTCCTCTCATATTTCTCTCTCCTTTTTGTATAATCACATTCTATGTAGGAGAGATGTAAAACGGAATGTATACAAAAAGAGTGTACGTGCTCGTTGCTTTTTCTCTTATTGATTCTGTACAATTCGCCATACTTTGTTTATTCCTTTCTTTGAAGTGAATCATCATGTCTGCACGTTTAGTTGTCGGTTTAGTAACAGATATTAATTATTTTAAACAATTCTAGAGGATGTGAGTGTGAGTGTAGAAAGAATATAATACCCACACCCAAAATTCCAAACTTAATAGTGTCCATAAATTCACGTAAATTAATAAGCCTCTAAAAAGAATAAGAGTTGACAAAAAGGAAGTAAAATGTTTAGTCATACTTTTTGGTATTAAAATACTTGTCGGCTTGTAATTAAATAAAGCCATGGTCAAACAACTAAATATTGAAACAAAAAAAAATATCTGTGTTATTTTGTATTACTGAATGATCAATAATGAAATATCCATTTTTTTCATGTTAAGTTAAAGGACAAAGTCAATCTTGTAGTACATAATTAATTTCTACACTACCATCATTTCCTTTTATGTATTCAAAGAGTTATGATTTCTTTAAAAAACGGATGATGTTGGTTTTTTTTATTTAATATACTTTCTCTTGATTTGTACTTTGACGAATATCGTAAATGTAAAATTGGTAGGCAGGCAAAATCGTCCATCTAAAAAATAAAAGAATCTGCTAATTAAAGAGATAAAATTTGATATTCGACAAAATCATAACTTATTGCCCATCTTGAGGGTAATGGTGGGGTGGGTGTAGGTGTGTGCTAATTTTTATTTTACCCACACCCACACCCTCAAGATTCGTTATGATATCAACATCACCATTATGAACAATACAAAAAAGAGTCAAACAAAAATTCGTCTAAATATAATGGCTAGGAGATGATTTCAATCATTCGAACCTGTTTCACTTCAATAGAGAACTAGTCGACTAGATTTATGGAGATGAATGTAGGTATGGAAGTAGCTTCATATCCTTGACCCACACCCTCTTTTTTGCCAAAAATATTTTAAAAAACTAGCGACACATTCGAATTTATCGCCTACAGAAACATTAGATTGAGTTTCATTTCAGGTAAAATAAAATAAATCTTGCCTGATAAAACTTTCCTGGTGTCTAACTGGCTTGAATAAAAAGACACACTTAACATTTAATCCTTTCTATCAGAACAGCGAATTATCTTGAGGGTGGGTGTGAACGTTATATTCATCTCACACCCACACCTACACCCTCAAGATGGTTTTTGTGAAATAACGAAGTTTCATGAAAAACTCTGCGTTAAACGATAACATATTTTTACATGGGTTATGTCCTATCTAACTAAAATATTGCAAATATTGAATTAATCTATTTTTATAAACAAGGAAAATAATCATAAAAATCTTTCGTTAAGACAAGCGATTGATCAAATACGATTTGTTTGATTTGACTACAATTAATTTGTTTTGCATCATTTGTAAAATTATCTGTGACAGCAACTAATTTATCATATTGTATTATAAGTATGTGAAGAGTTGGTAAATATGTATTTGTATAACATAGAAATTGATCAACATAATCAATATGTGCATCATCAAGGTTAAGTTTAAATAAATGTAAATATGAAATTTTTGAGAAGATTTCTTTATCATCAATTATTGTAGCTTGACGTTTATTTGCCTGTGGTGTTAAATTGTCAATGAGTAAATGTTTGAGTGATGGACATGCTTGAGATAGCCATTCGAAAAAATCATGTTCAAATGGCCGTCTATCAAATAACCATAAATTAGTAACATATAAGAAGTCTTGACCATGAAAACTGTTTGAAAGACACGTAAAATGAGTCATCTGAAATGGTGTCGAATAAATATGACAATAACTATATCCGTCCGAAAAATGGTCGATACAACAATTAACTGAAGAATATTTCCAATTAAGAAATGTATTTTTAATATCATTCGCTGCTAAGAAATTATTCGTTTGAGAAGTTCTTAAAACAGTACAAATATGGAATATAAACTTGTTTAAATATTTCATATGAATAAGAAGTTTTTCATTAAGATGTAAACCATCAATAACAGATAATCGTACTATATCGAGACCTAGAGTAAGAGTTTCTAAATTTGGCATTCGACGAAGAAGTGATAATATTCGACAATCATAAACGTATGTGTGTAAATAGCTAGTTAATGAGAATTCTTTGAGATTAAATAAAATTTTCTATTAAACAAAAAAGAAATAGATTAATTATTCGAATAAAATAATTTCCACTTTTCATTAATTCTCTTACTTGATTATTATTGTCCACCACTGATCTTGTAATGAGAAGGATATGCACTGTGAAAGAACATAATTGTTCTAGACGACCATCAAGTAGACAAAGACAATCATCAAAGTCAACCACATTAATCAATAAAGTGTGTAAATTTGAAGAAAAACAAACATTTGGAGGTAGATACTCGATTGAAAGGTATGCATGGTTGATTATTAACCATTGATTCATATTTAAATATAACAAATTTCTACAGATAGCAAGTATACGTATACATACATTTGTAAATGATCGATTAGTAAATATTTCTTTTTCGCTCTTGACAGATAAATGTCTTATCTGTTGTTGAAACAAACGAGAAATAGGCGACTCATCTAATCATATGATTAGACAGATATTCATAATTATGAATAAAAAAGTTTTATTTACCTGTTAAATATTGTAAAAGAATACCTGGCAAAAAATTAGTTAAAACAATAACAGTAAGATTAGGATATTCGCAGGCAAGAAGAATACGTTCCATAGAAAATATTTCAAGAGTAAGTACTACAATGTTATGATGTATTTGAGGTAATATTTCACAACAAAATCGATTAAGTTGAACATTATTATTTGAAAAGTTTAAGAATTTCGTATTGTTAACACTTCTTGCCATTTGATCGAGTCGATTATTAACATTGAATAATGAATAAAGAACATCAACGGAATCAAGTTTTTTTAAAATAATAAGTAATATTTCGTCAGATAAATCAAGTAAGTGAGCTGTTCTACAGTTCATAGCTGAGAAATATCGATTGACTTTTCTTCTTTCACTGTTCAGTTATATGCTGTATATTTATAGGTATCAACTAGACGAACGTATTTCCTCCGCTCACATCGAGAGGATAACTGTTTTGCTATTTGTTTATTACATATCAGACTGAATTCCGGACGAATATATCAATTTTTCTATAGTCTGCTAATACAAAGCGAAAGATTACATTGTTACAATATAGATGTTTGAACTTTTTCATCTTGAGGGTGTGGTGTGAGTGTTTACCTCGCCATTATCCACACTCAAACCGACACCCATTATATGTTAAATGTTTATGTCACGGAAAAGATAATTAAATAGAGCATTAAGTATCCAGTATTCATTCTTCATGATAGTACTTTTTTGATGATATGATTGATAATTATGAGAAGATTACTTTTGAAAAGCTTACGAACACCTATGGCTTTTTAATAGAACTCACCTAGCGCATGATCTTAAATTCATTTTTTTATTTTAATTGCTTCTAAATTTATCTCTTGTAGTTTATGAATGTTCTTAAAAAAGATTATATATTATAATTATTGCCTAGTTTTTTTAATTTACGCATTACAAAAAGAAGATAAGGGTAAGAAGGATTTTCTCTAATGAATTAATTTCGTATCTATGGGCTATATAATATATTATATATTTACGAGCTTAAACGTTGTTTATTCTCATTTGTTATATTAGAAAACTTTTGATATGAGTACTCTTACCGAACGAGTAGATCAAACTAGTATTTATGTTCAACCAATTCTTTTTATTCTTGTTATGATTACAAATATTTTAAATATATGTATATTACGTGATCGTACACTTCGATCATCACCTTGTAGTTATTATTTTATTAGTTTTTCGATTTCAAGTATTCTTTATACTTGTATTCTATGCCCAACACAAAGTTTACGACGATATAATATTTTATGGATAAATACAACGGTCGGTTGCAAATTGAATCCTTTTCTTTTATTTGTTTTACCTCTACAAGCTAGTCTTATGCTTATCTTAGCTTCGTTCGATCGTTTTTGTTCAAGTTCCATATCAGTGAAACTTCGTTCAATGAGTAATATACGAGTAGCACGATGGTCAATTATATTGGGTTCACTTTTATGCGCACTATGCATGTCACCAATGATATTTATCTATGATTTTAATTCAACATTACATTTATGTACACAATATTCTAATCTGTTAACGACTATATTTACTTTTGGTCAGATTATTCTTTATTATATTTTAGTACCAATAAGCATGGCTGTATTTGGTATTTTGACCATATCTAATATTCGACAACAACTTAATCGAGTAAGACCCATAGCAGGTAATAATCAACATCGTCGAACAGAAAGTCAGTTGGCTCGAATGTTAATAATTCAAATTAGTGTTCATATGATTTTTGCACTCCCATTTGGTATTATATATTTGATGAATACATTTATGCTATCATCACGAACACCATTCATAATAGGTTTACGATTAGCTTTTGTCACTTGGCAACAATGTGATTATTTTGTTCCGTTTTTTCTTTATACTCTTTCTAGTAGTGTTTATCGTGTAAAATTCTTTCGAATACTCAAATTAAAACATCATGATAATAACGTAACCATACATGTCACACAAACTCAAGCATATAATACTCGTCATAATGGTAATCGAGTAACGTTATTCGAGGCGACAAAATGTAATACTGCTGTTTGAATGTGTAGAACATGAACTAAAACTGACTTATTGTTGTTCGTAATACAAAAAAAATTTCTTCTGTTTGATGTTGTATTTGTTGCAAATAAATAAACAGTTGCTTCTATATCGTATAAATTAATCAATGTCAGACACATACTGCGTAACATTTCCTGTAACGTCTATAGAATATCTATAAAAGTAATTAGCTCTTCTACGTTCCAACCTTAATTTAAATCTAAATATCAAAACTTACACATACACATTTTATTTAAAAATATTATCCTTATTTTTAATTGAATCCATCCCGAGGGTGTGAATGTAAATGTAAGTTGGAATGGGAATGTAATTGGCGGTTTCCTTTATACACGCCTCAATATGGTTGATGGACTCTTTGGTTAAAGCAACTGTGACAGCCTACAAAAGAGAATGTCATCAAAGAGTAACTCGTCAGTCAGCAAGGATCGTTTCGTTCAATATTGGAAAAAGATGATTTTCAATAGTAATATACTGCTACTAGTTATTTTTTCGAGATTTTACTCTTCGTTTTTTTTCTTTCAAGCAATTACAGTACTTCCTCGATGATTCTAGTTCGCTCCTCAAAATTAAGAACAAATTACAATTGATAATTCAGTAGAAAGAGTCAAAATTTCACTTACTGATATTGGAAAAATAATGTATTATTTAAATCATATTTGTTATTGTATTGATTTAAATGAATACACAAATTATTCCAATTACTCATCTTTATCTCATGAAGATCAACAATTTATATTTTCCATAGCTCTTTGTTCAAGTCCATATTTATTTATTGGAAAAATTTTCTTTCCCAACGATAAATGATTTGACTATGAAAAAGAAAAATTCTGTCAGATTAGTTGTTCATCAACGCTTTCTTCATCAGTCATCGTCAGTGGACAAACGTATCAGACTAAAAGAATATTATTGGGATCCTATAAATAAACTCTCGCAACAATTTCGTTGTCAACACCGATTAAGAAAATATATTGTTTGATTACATAGTATTTAACATTTAATTAAAACAAATTTATTTTTGTTAGTGATATCGATAAAAATAATCTTATATTTTTGTTTGCATCAGATATTTATTTTGTACTTATTGATAAGATATTTTTGAAATATACAACCTTGTTGATTAATTAAAAAATCAAAATTTTTCAGCTGAATAACAAAAAACTTTTTCGATATAGGAGTGGGTGTGGGTGAGTGAACACAAGTTTTTCTTTTTCTTCTTTACATACCCACACTCACATCATGAAGATGCAAGTGAAAAAAGAAAAATTCACAGCTTAGTTATTGAACTCCTACGATAATCATAACTGTTTGAAGACATGAACAGTAATAACCATAAAAGAATTATAGTAGATAGGTAGTATTGATAAATCTAAAACTATTCTAAAATATTTTTTGTTCACTGGAAACTTCTCCCTAGCATTTTACAAACCGTAAAACCATTTTATAAATCTGACACTATACAAATTTAGATTCATCTTTAAAAGCGTAATTAACGATGTTGTATTTGTTTCCAAGTTGTTTTGTAGGAAAACTGATAGTTTCGAAAATATCTAAATCTTCACATATGTGAAACTTGTCTATTTCAAATTGTGAATGATACTTACAGTTCTGCTGAGCAAGATAAAAAGAATGAGCATAGCAATGATACTCACAGACACTTTATTTCTCATCTACTCAAATAGATAAAAGATAGAAAAGTGGATCTGTGTGCATGTAACAGTGCACACATACTTCTATTTAAAAAAAACGTTTTCTCTAGATAAAACAAGTGAAACTATTTGATCTGCTTAGTTTACTTTTTCTACTTAAAATATTATTCTCCGATCCATAAGTCCTGAGGATAGGTATGGGTATGGATACAATATCAATACATAATACGTACACCCACATCCAAACCCACCTCAATTTCTTTTTCTCGAAATTTTATTTTTCAATTTTTTGTTTAACAGAAAAATTGTTTTCTTGTTTTAAAAATTAAAATTTCATTCACAAAATTATTTCAAATTTTTGAATTCGATGATTAAAAGTATCAGCAACATAAAGATGTCTTTCACCATCAAAAGATAGACCATGGGGATAATACAATTGATTCGGATGACCACCTGAACCATTTCCACCAACAACAATTTCACCCTCTTCTTTTCCTTCACGCCAACGCATTATTCGATTATTCAATTGATCTGCCACATAGATTTGACTCAAATCATCAACAAATACTCCTTGAGGATGATACAATTGATTGAATTCTCCTCCGTGACCGTTTCCTCCAGCCACAACTGTTCCTTCTTTTGCATCTTTTCTCCATTTCATCACACGATGATTGCGGTAATCTGATACATAAATAGATTGATCTTCATCAACAAAGATAAAAGTAGGATGCCTGAGTAGATTGAGTTGATTTCCTGCACCATTTTCACCTGCCACTACAATTCCTTCATTGTTATATTCTCCCATTCTCCATCGTCTCACTTGATGTTTCTCATAATCAGAAATATAAAGAAATTCATTTTTATCCATTGCCAAGCCATAACAGTCAATATTCTCAATGAGAATGTGCTGTGTTTGATTCAACAATTGGATTACTCGTCTGTTCCAACGATCAGCAATGATGATCGAATGATTCTGTTGATCAACAATCACAGCTGATGAATAATTCAATTGATTCGTTTGATTTCCTTGTCCATTTCCACCTGCAATGATTTGTCCTTCTTCTGCATTATATTTCCATTCAACAATACGATGATTGCCAGAATCAGCAATGAAAATATTTTTGTTTTTATCAATAAAGATTCCATGAGGGATATTGAGTTGATTTAATTCTTGTCCTTCTCCATTTCCACCAGCTACAGTGATGGCATTTTGCTTCCATTCAAGATTTGTCTTATCTAAAACAGATCAAATTTATAGTTTCAAATATCTTGAGAGTGTGAATAAGAGTGTTGCATCTATCATCCACCGATTCACTCACTTTTCATTGGTGGACAGATACTTTGATCGGTCATTGTAACTGGATAACATACAGGAAGATCATTACATTGTGGATGTTGAACACACGTCGTATTAGGTTGAGAACATGAATAGCCTGATGAATTACACAGTACAAGATGAGAACATGCTAACCAGCGAAAACCACAAATGCCTGTATCGTTCTTAGCACCTATTACATGAAAGCATCCACATGCACTGTTTGTGGAACATTCACCATATTGCGTTGTGTTCTTACATATTTGAGATTTGTTTTGAACTACGAAAGTTATAAACTAATACATATAAACATATAAAACAGAATAAAAATCAAACCTGTTATACTAAAATAGAAAACCAATGAATGTTAACAAAATGAATGATAAAAATGAATAATTATTTACCTGAGAATAATGAAAACGACGTAGCAGTAGATATTGATTGTAGTCATAGTTGATTTTAAAATAGCAGACTATAGTGAAAAAATACGTGTTTTTATTTTTAAAACATAGATAATATCTTAAGTCAATATAATTGAAATATAACAGATGCATTTATTCACACATCAGTAAGTCAAAATTTGATATCGATTTAATTTCTTCTAATCTTTCTGATTCTATTCCGCGAAAAATGTATAGATGATTATGTGATAAAGTTAAGATACAAGTGGTATTAGTATATTTTCAAAAAGTGAAATATTTGTGAGGAATAGTTATTTTCAACATTGCAAAGAACTATTGTATTCAGTAAGAAAAAGAGAATGTTTTTATTAGTATTTATTCAATATAATACAAACTCTTTTCAACTACACCAAAGCTATACCTACAGCAACTCTAGTATCTGAAGATCTACGTAAAAAGACTTTGTTATATGCTATTCGTAATGTCAAACATGCTATTAATGAAAGTTCTGGATATTATATTTATTTGAATTAAAAAGCGAAAAGATTAAATAATGTTCTTAAATTTAATTTATTGTAATGTAACTTGAAAAGTTTTGATTTGCATAGGGTTAAGTGTCACTATTGTACTTTTTGATGGACTGGAATCTAAAATATAGAAAAATATACATGAATTAAGTATAAACTTTTCTCTGTTACATACCTTTTGATTTCCAATAAGATGATTCATTGTTATCTGTTTTCCAAACAAGACGATTCATTTGATTCAAAGGTAAATTACCTGTGAGATTTAACTCAACAAAATCTGTAATATTACCAAATACATTAAATAAACTTTGTAAATCAATTTGAACTGGTCTTGATAAATTGGCATCTTCCTTCAATTCAAAAAAATGTTCAAGTCGTATAAGAAATACTTTTGATGTCAGTTGATCAAAGGTTAATAAATGAATATTAATTGGTAATGGTTGACTTCCATTCAAAGCTGACCATGTTTGACGATAATTAATTGAATAATTAACATAGGACATGTTCGGTAATGCATAAGTCTTTAGTGGATTCATAAAAAGACGTTGAGTAGCAATACGATGATAAAGAGCACTGAATTCTGGTGGTTCAACAATGAGAAAATGTTTACCACGAACGACAAGACCTTGACCATAAGCTGTTTCATTCATTGGTTCAGCAACACCTTGGCGATCATCATAAAGTGTACGACGATGTACCATAAGTTCAATCGATCCATCACGCATACTTGAACCACCTTGAGATCGATCTAAAAGAAAAACAATTGAGAAATTTTATTTTAAAAAACCCAAAGAAATTTCTACCTGTAAGTATTGTCATTTGTCTTTGATTATCTTTAATCCAAATTCGACTTGCAACTGGATAATAATTTCCACTAACATTTTCATAGACTGTATAATTATACGATGATCGAAAATCTCTTTGACGTTCAATCATTTCACGTCCATTAGCATCGGTATAAAACAATCCATTACTTGGTATATTTGTATCATATCGCATGATTATTTCTTTACCAATATGATCTTCAATAGGTATTGGTCCAACAATCCATTTATTTTCAATTGTTTGTCCTTGATCGTAAAGACTAATCTCTTGACTAGCCCATTGATTGTAAATAATTAATGCTGTTTGAACTTCATCCGTATAAGTACATGTTCTAATTGATATGAAATATTTTGATGAAGAATATAGAATATGAATACTTACATATTTCGAGAACTGCTTACTGGAAATGTACTGGGTGTTAATGGACGAAAGCAATAAGCACCTGATGCTTGAAATTCTGGAGCAGAATTATTACCGGGAAAACCTAAAATCATATAGATAATCAAAGATTACTAACTACTATATTTATGATCCATTAAAGATAATTACTCGTATACCAATATAGACCATGAGCAGAGAATGGTATTTCAAAATTTCTATCACGATTAACAATTTTATTTAGATTGCCTTTTTCATCGAATTCAATTCGAAGATGCTATATAAAAGAAACAAATATGTACAAATTACTGGGAATCGACAAGTTCAGTAAAGATCTATTATTTCTCACGAGACGCTATAGATGTTTACTGAACCGTGTCGATCAGTTCTTTGAACTCTCTTCCTATTAATTACTTGATTTTGAAGTATACAAGCTTGATTTTTTGTCACTCTCGTTGGTAATTTGGTTTCCTTTGTCATATGAGCTAATTGAAGACAATAGATTAGACAGATAAAATAATTAGTCTTTACTTTTAGCTTCGAAATAATAAGTATTAAAAGCAAGAGGTTGTATAGGTGTTCGAAATAATAATTCATATTCAGCTGAACTTGTTCGTCCAGGAATATTTCTTGTTGGTGAAGAAATTGGAATAAGCTATACAATAAAAAAAAACAAGGGATATTAATATAAATAAAATTTCTAGTAAATCTTACCGTAGTTGCAATAATTTCACCAGTTGGACTATGAATCGTATAATTTTTTGTTACTGGTACACGAACTATATCTTCAATGAGTTGAATGGTTGGATTCCAAATTGTTAATGTAAACTATTCAATATTTTATCCATAAAATGAGTTTCAAATAATAATCTCACTTACATTATCTTGTCCTTCAATTGTTAAACACTCGCTAATATTTGAAAATTGACAAAGATATTGTGTTGGAACTGGTAATGATTGAGTATTTTTTGATAATAATTTTTTATAAGCTTCATTAATAACATACTAGAATAAAACAATGATAATTGAATTTTTCAGATTCTTTCACATACCAATGCTGAATCAATGCCTTGTGCTAATCGTTGAGCATAATCATCAGCAACATGTTGTTTTTCTGTTCCACTAACTGCATCATGATGTTGAGCAATACCCATTGCTTCACCTATATTTATTTAATTATATAAAAGAGAAAATCAGTTTGTTTTCCCCGTCTGTTTCATACTTAAAGGAAAAATTCCGTGACGTAGTGTAGCATTTGAAAATGCATTCAATTGTCGTGTTACTTGAAGAATATTATTTGAATAACGTTCAAAACGTTTCAATGCTGGTCTTGAAGTAAAATAACCAGTCCAAGATCCATGTTGATTCCATGCAATTGGGAAAAAATCATCAGTTTTTGTTATCCAAGTTCGATTGGCTTTGTTTAATGCATATAAATAACATGTAGGAGTAGAATAGAATATATTAACATCACTTCCATTCGTTTGCTAAAAAGAATCTATATTGATCTTATATTAAACTCATTATTTAATATTACCTGAGCATTGACATATTTGATTAATTTATCTAAATTCTTATACCATTCATCGGCATTTTCATACTGAAAATCACTACCCATTGTCATCATTATATGATTTGTTGTATAACTATCAGCTTGATTATGTGCTGCATCAATAAATGCTTGAACTCGTTCTGGTATATTATAATCATGCAATTTTGGATCATCCTATGGATTCATAAATAGGATAAGATAAATAAATGAATATCAACTGACTTTCATCGGTTCATCATGACATAAATAATCGAAACAAAAAGAATCAGGTGCATTATAAGTTCTCGGTATTACACCAGTAAAAAGCCAACTTTGTTCATCTAGATTAGAACTTCCTTTCCAAATCATTTCCATTCTTTTTGTTTGAGCTCGTTGAATATGATCTTGAAAATCTATTCGTCCAAAAAATAATCCATCAAAACCCATCTATAAAATATATATTTTATATAGAAACAAATGTTTTGATTTTAACTAATTAACCTGTGCAAATAATGATGCTACTTCTCGTGAATGACCAAATGGATCAATCTGCCAACCAAGTTTTGGCCGACCACATTCGCCAAATTGATCACGTAGAAATTCTGCACCTAAACTATGTTGATCAATAATTGAATTGTAATGTGTAACACCTTCATCATTCATTGACCATCCACCCGAAATGAACTCTAGACGACCTGTTGTAATGAATGAATATGAAATCTCAATATAAAAATTCTGCGGTATTTATTTACCTTGGTTAACAAGTTCTCTCACTGTATTACGCATTTCATCAGTTTGTTGCATCCACCAACGCCAAAAAAAGGCTATTTCAACATAAACAAAACGACGATCAGGATTTTCAACGAGTGATTCAATGACTGAATCGAGAATATATTGAACACCAGCATGTTGAATATCATTACGAGCTAAAATATTCCAATAATTTACAGAATTTGAAATATAAGAAAAATTATTGCAAACCGCCATAGAAATATTGATCCACAGTTTTTAGCCAACCGACATCATCATGAGTATGTGGAACAATGTGAACATTAAGTTTATTAGATTGTCCTAAATTACATGCCTAAAAATGCAATAAGATGATTTATATTCTTCTTTTTTTAATTAAATAATATTTACATTGTAACCACAACTATCAGATGATTTGAATGGTGCTCCAGAATATCCAGAAATAACGATGGATAATACAATTGCACTATATAGTAATATGTGCATTTTGAATTTTTCAGTTTATAATGAATAAACCAAATGATAATAACAAGCGAAATGAAATAAAAGTCTCACTAAGATAAGATGTGGTATGCGTTTTTCATAGGAACGAAAAAAAAAGATAACAACATGTCCGTTGAAAATGTTGGTGGTAGTTGACGCGCTTTTTGTTAATTGAATGTTTTGGATAAGAATCTATACTCAGAGAACTTCTTGAGGATGTAAATGTGAGTACAAGATGAACTGTATACTCACATCGGCACCCACATCCATCCACCCCGTTTTTCAACGCTGTGGAAGTAAATAATGGGATCGTCAGATAGTTTTCTTCTGTTTAACTGCTTTACATATTGCCCTTGTTAATGTAATTGGTGAAATTAATTCTGAATTACAAGATAAGTTAAAATTATGTACAAATTCTTTTAGCCTAAATGAATGAAACGTCGTAATATCTCAACCAATTGTACATTTTATTTTAAATCAAAAAGTCAATTTAAACATTGAAAATAATCATGCAAGCTATTATTAAAATGATTTTGCAATTTTACAAAATTTAAATTTAGGTTCATGAATAAATATTGAATTAGAAATATTTCATGCATTTCCAACAGCCTACAAAACAAGAAGAATCAACGATAAAATTGAAGATAATATCATTAAAACATATAAAAGTAATACTAGATTTTATTGGAAATATTCAGTTCAATAGTTGTTTTTGCATCAATTATAATCTTTGAAATATTACAAAAATCTATTGAGTTGACTTCTTACATTATCGTGATGAAGAACAGTTTCGACAATCAATTGAAAATATCACTCGAAATGAAAGCTTGATGTCGCGTCTAACTACGGAACAAGAATTCGAATGATTATATCAAAAATACAATTAAATTTATTTGAAGAGTGTGGGTTTAACATAATACTATCCCCACCTCTATCCGCACACCCACACCCTCACACGTCGAATAATGATAAATAATACATTTTGTGTTCAATTTCGTCCAAAAATATCAACTGATACTTATTTTATACTTGTTCAAAATTCTTCAGGTTGTTCAGCCACTGTCAGTTTCTTTTATTTTATTTATTAAGGAATAATATTAATCAATTTTAGGTTGGTTATAATGACGGTTATTCAGGTGATCGTTATTTAAATTTAATGCATACACCTACATCTTCATGTATGCACATAGGAACTATTCAGCATGAACTTATGCATATCTTAGGTTATTTATCAAATAATTCTATAAATTAATTTTATCTTCTATCTTAAGGTTTTTTTCATGAACACTCGCAACCTGATCGAGATCAGTTTGTTACAATCGAATATTCTAATATTGCTTCAGCTATAGAGCTTCTTTTCTTATAAACAAACAATCTCTTTTTAAATAATAGATCAGAAATATAATTTTAATAAATATTCTGAAGAAAAAATTGATGCATTGGGAACAGAATATGATTATGATTCAATAATGCACTATAATGCATATGCGCTCAGTATTAATGGCCATCCAACAATAATACCAAAAAAATCAGGTGCTGTTATTGGACGAAGGACATTAAGTCTGACGGATATTCTTGAAATTCAACGATATTATGGGTGTGTAGCATACTCAACTGCAAATCAATTTTTTATGTCAAAAAGTGTAGTTTTACTATTTATTTTAATTCTAATATTTGTAAATATGTTGTAAAATGAAGAACAATCACAAAAATAAACAAATAAAAAAGTTTTCTATAAATATTAATATAGCAAAACGTAATACAAAAGTGGCCGGGTTTGAGGGAAGGATGTAGGTGAAGGTGTGAACGTGGATTTTTGTTATCTTTTTATTCATCCACCTCGTATTTACACCCACACCCTAAGATGGTGAATGAATGAAAGATATTATTCATAGATGATCACATACGTCATCTATGAACAATAACGACATTTTCATATCAACTTATTGTTCGTTATCAATCTGAGCCATTCAAAGACCTTATTATTATATGTTTCTATTAATACTTTTATGAAAATACTTTTTAAATGATATACTGTAGCAACTCTATAAATAAAATCTACTCAAATCAATCAATGACAAAAGAATTAATAAAGTTTGATAATAGTATACCTAAGTATGATCATGCATTTTTTATACTGTAAGTGCAAAGCTCATGTTTTATTGTGTTCTTCATATAATGACTCGTCATAGTTATATTCATCCATATAAAAAAAAGTGTCTAGTAATGGTTTATTCTCACCAAGGAAGATAAGAAAGAAAAAAAAGTGTGCAAGACATGATGACGATGCATATTCGTGAAGGCATATATATAGGAAGAAAAAATTTTCGTTTAGTATATTTTTATTAATTTTCAAACAACATTTAACATTTTTGTCAACGATGCCAAGTTATCCAAAACATCTTAAAACCGGTATATATATCAATTTCTCATAATTCGATACAATTAGTTTTAAATAGGTTCGGAATGTCCACCATTGAAAGAAAATCAATTACGATTATATAGTATGCAATTTTGTCCATACGCTCAACGTGCTAAACTTGTCTTAGCCGCTAAGAATATTCCGTAAGTTTCTTTTCTATTTGATTAGTTGTAATATCTATGAAATTATTCTAGATATGAAGAAATAAATGTTGATCTTGTTGATAAACCAGAATGGTATTTAAAAAAGAATGCACCTGGACAAGTTCCAGGTTTAGAATGGATTGATCATGATTCAAAAGAAACAAAGTTTATACCTGAATCACTGATTGTTAGTGATTATCTTGATGAAACATATTCACAAAATCGTCTTCAACCAACTGATCCATATCTAAAAGCCAAACATCGTGTTTTAATTGATAGATTTAGCGGTGTAAGTAAAAATAAGTTATACTTTTATCTCAATATAGATCTTTTGTTTTTTTTAGATTACAACTGCATTTTATAAAATTATGCAAGGAGATCAAAAGCAAGGTGTTGAAGATTTAAATAAAAATTTAAAAACATATGAAGAAGCACTTACAGCTACATTTTTTGGTGGATCAAAACCAGCCATGATTGATTACATGTTATGGCCATGGTTTGAACGACTTCCATTATTAAGTGAAGTAGGTTTTGAATTTAATTCTGATGGAAAATTACCAAAAGTCGCTGCTTGGGTTAACGCAATGGAATCAAATGAAGCTGTTCAAAAAATTAAAGTTCCTACCGAATTATTAAAGAAATTTACGGAAAGTCGTAAACAAGGAAAACCACAATTTGATTTTGAATAGAACTTTATCGATTTTTTTTCTAATAAAAACATAGACTTTTATATTTATCTTTAATTTATTGCATAAATATTTATCATTTAAATGAAAAATGGAATTATATGTTGAATTTATTGTAGTAAATGAAAATTTATTTAAATAATGTTTGTTATCAATATGAAAATAATCATCTTGTTTAGTATTTATCCATTGTTCCGAACAATAAATACTTATTAAATCTAAACCTTGATTAAATTTATTCGCGAATAATCTTTTACTTTGTTCAATATAATTGACAAACACCTTCAATAGTTTTCTTCGATTCACATTGGCTAAATGGTTGTTGAATTCAACTTTCATAATGAGATAAAAATTGATAATAAGAATAAATTGTATTAATTCTACATTTAATTCCAGGTAAATGTTGGAAATGAACTAATGTTGAATAAAAATGTTCATCAGACACAAAACTTCCATTTCGAAATTTCCAAAATTCTATCGATAATGAATCAAGGATGTTTTTATTGGTTTTATATCGAATTAATTGGCATTAATAACATTTTCTCATAATGAAAGACGAATGACTGGCAGTGGAATATATTTATTAATTTTATCTATTGTTAATCAATTGAATATTTATCGAAATTATGTCCATGAATTAGTGATTGGTCAGCATCATTTGTAACAATTGAACGTGCATGGACAATTTTTCGAGTTCATGAATTTCTTTTTCAAAGATTAATTCAAGATTTATTAGTTCATGAAAATAATCGAGAATGGTGTATGATTTCATTTGATCGTTACAATGGATTTTAAGTCTATAATGTAACAATTAATATACTGAATATTATTCTACCATTCTTATGTGATTTTATTGGTGCTTCATATATTCTAATTAAATTATCTTTAATGCGTTTACGTTTACAACAAAAACGAACATTCTTAATGATATTTTATAGTGAGTTTGTTAAACATAAACATTTGTTAATGTCACCGTTACTTTTGATCTTATTGAATTTACCACGTTTATTATTTTTATTTATATTTACATGTTTTGATTCATCATTGGAGTGGCAAAAATATTTATTAATTACGATTTATTTTTTTTTTCGTTTATGCCAAGATTTTTAACATTATTTCTATTCGTACTAACATCATCCTTGTATAGAAACGAACTGAAACTTTTTTTGAACAACTGTCTACGCCGTTTTTATCGATAAAGATTTTATCGTTATATCAGGGTTGAGGGAGAATCAACTTCGATTGTACTCATACCTACACCTACACCCTTGACAAACTAGTTTTTCTTTCTTTTTGACCTTCCTTTAAAGTAGCATTTTGCCATTGTCATTTTTTTTGCATCAATAAACAAACGAAAAAAATATAAACATATATTCTGTATGAAAACATTTTTCTGAAATTTTATATTTAATTATTTCCAAATATTTTCTCTCCAACTAAGTATTTATCTCACCTCTACAATATGTTCATACAAGAAACTTATTTCTTATACCAGTAAGTATAGTATATACATTTATATTTGCATCATTATATTGGCAACAATCAGGTTTATATTCTGATAATGGAATATCGACACTTCGGGTAGATATTCAACTTCTTATTGTTAAACTTGCAATTTTTTTTAATTAGACACCTTTTCGTATTATGGGATGTGTATTATTAATATCAATATTTTTAAGTTCATTAATGATTATACTTATTTATCTTAAAGACCATCTGTGGTAAGTATGAATTTTCTTAACGAGAAATGCATAATTTTCAAGAAGAAAGCAGATGTCCCACAGATAGCACTGACTATTCTTTCTCAAACTGAAGACTGTTTCTGACAGAAATGAACTATTTCTATTTATATTATTTGTTTCCTTTTGTGTTGATAACATGACACAGTGTGAGAAGTCTGATTAGTTATTTTTAATCCATTTCTTTTTACCGTATATGACTTTCTACTATAGAGTCAACAATTTTCTCGTGCATTGTTGTGTTCTTTTACTTACTGGTGAAGATAGGCCGATTAGCTGTTTTAATGTCTTTTGTTGTGACAGTGAATTTTTTTTGTGAACGTTTTTCTCCTGTCTTAACTCAAATTAAGTTTTGAGTGAGTTTTACTGACAAAATATAGTTTTCGATTAGTTTTGCTTTTAATACATTGTGCCATCCACTAAGTATGTTTGATTAATGCGTTGACCGACTTTTATTGATGAAACAGACTTCTGATTATTTTTATTTTTTTTCACAATCTATGTCATGGTTTGAGAATAAGCCGATTCATCTTTTCAGTAAGCTTTTCTATTAATAAAGACTTCTATCATTTTTTATCTTTAAAGTAATCTGATTTATGTCGTTGGGATTACTCTTACTAATGAAATACACTGCTGAATGTTCATCCTGTTTGTTAACTGCACTTAATTAATGAAAATAGTAGGTAAAACACTGTGCACAACTTCTATCAGTAATACATGGAATTTGAAATTCTCAACTTTCACAAGTGTATCTATTTTATCCGAATACCATTTGTGTATACGATATACTTCTTTCGTCTTCCTCTTATTGGCAAGTGCTATTATCGGATTATAAACCCTCGATCGATTCTTTAATTAATTTTTCTTATCTAAATATAGATCTAGTCACAACAGTTTATACAATAATTTGAATACCCCGAGAAATTTCACCATAAATTTGGAAAATACAATATAAAGGAAGAAAATACTGAATATCCGTCACCTTAAGATCCGTCTTGCATTCTATCTAATAAAGTATATTTATATCGACAAATATTAATAATGTGTCTCTCTCCAATGAGGATAATATTATCTAAAGCTAGAAATTTAGGATGAGATACAAGAGTTAATTTTTTCCCTAGAATACTGAACCGATCAGTAGTCCTGTCATATATGTTCAAATCTACGTTATTGTGTGTTTTTGTCAAGATTTTCTCATTGTTGTACTTCTATTCGAAGAGAACTGGAATCAGTTTTTTTGTGTCTCAAGTCACTTGAAAGTTTATAGTCCCTGTTCAAAACTCGCAAAGATCACAGTTTATTTTATCAATATATCATCATTTTCCTTCTGTTCTTGTTTGCCTCTTCTCATTTTTCTCTCACAATAAGAGATTAAGACTTATGATAGATAATTACCTTTTGAAATATGCAGCCACTTACTAAGCTCTTGTTTTTCTATACTCATGAGCATAAAAAACTCCCCTTACATTATTTTCTCTGCACGGATAACAGTGTTCTGGGAAGAAGTTATGTGATATTATTTGTATTATATTCATTATTATCTTTAGTGATGGATTTTTCAGCATATTTGTTTTAATATATACTTTTTCTAGCGTATGAATCGTGATCATTAAACGAATATTTTTATTCTTTTATCTTTTGACCAGAAAAAAACGCTCTAACTAATATAAGAAAGACACACTTATGATATATCGAATTCTATTTATAACGTAAATGCACTTTCATAAGTTTTTGATCATTTATTACAAACGCAATAAATAACGTCTTTACTGGGGGTTAGCAAAATATTAAATGTTCTTTTTAACTTATCATTCTTTATAAATGCGATAAATAACATCTTTACTGGAGGTTAGCAATATATTAAAAGTTTTTTCTAAATTTATTATTCCTTAGAAACGCGATGAATGACGTCTTTGCTGGAGGTTAGTAACATATTAAAATTTGTTTTTCAATTTATCATTTTCTATAAATGCGATGGATGTCAACTAGATATGGCACCTTATTTTTTATTTTGTCGACGCTTTTGTAGACTGTGGAGTTTTATGAGTATTACACATACATTTAAGACAGTTATAAGCACAAAAGAGAAAATTCTCTGTAGCTTTAGAATTTGCAGTATAAATATAAGATCAAACGACGCTACTATGAAGTGTTAAACGAAAAAGTAAATGTGTCGTTTGTTTTTCGCTAAGGAAATAAATATACTGTTTTTTTCGTGATTCGTGAAATATTACATTTGTTTGTTGCAGTTAGTTATGATTCTTAAAAACAATTTTCCTCAATGTTTCTTATATGAAATCTATCATGAACCCCTACCAATTTCTAAGATTATAACATAGTGTAATACATCAATCGATTTAATCAGTTATATCGCGCAGCTACAATCATACTGTGACCTTTCAGTGACATAACTAATTTGTACATATACCTAGTATAATACTTCAATATAGTTATAACAAAGCAAAATTGTTTCAGATGTTGTTTTCCATGAAACGGATAACAAAGATTTTACTTGACTTACTTTCCACTCTCACATGAACTTTACCTTTTGTTTTCAGTCATGCGCAACGTGCAGATTTTCCCTGAAATTTCATATAGTAAATGATAAAGAGAAAAAAACTTTTATTTTATTATTTTTAAAACATAACTGCTATCGTTTTTTTTCGCGCTTCGTTTATATTATAAATCCTATTACTTAACTACTCGAAAAACTAGAAAAAAAAAATGTCGTAGATTTAGAAAGTTGCCGAGAATGGTACGAATAAATATTATAACTTTGTATCTTGTATATTGTGCTTAAAGAATAATTTTGGTTGATTGAGTCATTAATTCATTGTCTATCTTCATTTTCAGATACTATCAGACACACATAATAGTTTCAATGGCAATCTCTCTTATTGTTCAGTCTTGGCTCCTTTAAGTTTTCCAAATTCCATCTATTCTATTCGGTATTTTTACCCTCTACTACTTACTGATGGATCCGGCACTTCGAAAAGCACTTCACAATCATGTTATTATTGCCATTGTCTTTGTTGGTCTTATCTTGCAATTTATCGATGTTTCGGCGCTCGCTTACTACTGGCGTACCGGCACTGTATTAGTATCCACAAGAGCCTTTTGCTTTGCGTGGCTTTCCATTCATACCATTGGGCTTATAGGAACAACAATTCTAGTGGCTTGGGGATCGGTTGAACGTCATATTCTTATCTTTCATCCAAATTTGATTCGTACAAAAACAAAGCGATTTTTTTTTCATTATCTCCCATTGGTAATATGCATGATGTTTCCTGGCGTATTTTATATTACTATGCTCTTCATTGTACCTTGTTCTACTACAGTGAGCTACAATAAGGTAAGCTGTGGTTTGTACGCCTGTATTGCTGTTAACCCGTCAATTGCATTGTATGATAGTGTGGTGAATTATATCATTCCTCCATTTATCATTGTGATATTCAGTGTGGCCCTTATTATACGTGTGTTGGCTAGCAAATGCCGTGCTCGTCAACGAATTGAATGGCGTAATTATAGAAAAATGGCTATCCAATTATTATCAATATCTTTTCTCTACATGTTTCTATATTGCCCGACAATTTTCTTATATGCCACTTATGTGGCCGGTTTACTGCCATATATAACAGCTACCGGTTACTATTCTGATCTCAACTATTTTGGTTACTTTGCTGTAACGTTGACTCCTTTAATATGTGCTCTCTCAATGCCTGAACTTCGAACGAAATTTAAAATATGTTTTCCATGCTGCCGGAGATGTCGTGCTGCTGTTGGTCCACAAGCATTGATGATGACTCGTCCAATAGCTGGTCCAACAGCTGCAATAGCAGCAATTGCTAAATAATTGCTCTAAAACTACTATAGTTAACAAAAATAAGAGCATGATCCATTTTAAAAATATTAACAGACACTATTTTTCATCGGAAAAGGATTTCATATTATAGTTTCCCATTCTTACTTTGTTGTTATCATTGTATTGTTTCGTTCATTCATCGTTGATCATTCTATCTCATTTGTTAATCATGCATTTCTTTCTACTGAACAGCATTTAATTTAATTTATGTTGTCTAATTATCTATATTTTATATTATATTTCAATTATTTCAGTTTAGTTATATTCAGAATTGTTTGGAAACATTTATCATTAAGTGAAGATGATTGATCAAATGTTTATTATCAATTTTTTATAAATATTATAAAACAAAATTTAACTAAAATAATTCTAACAGCATTAATAATTGGCGCACGTTTTCTTCAAATATATAATCTGGAAGAATTCTTTTTAGTGATGATTGCATATGAAGTTCAGTTCGATGTGATATTTAAAAGTTGATTTATATGAATTAATAAATGATTGAAAAAGTCTTCTTCTAATTATTAAAAGAATAAGAATATAATCTTTCTACTGAAACATTATTTAATAATATAATTTTTTAGAATATCTTTATACGAGTCAACTACAACTTTTTGACGCGATTGAAATTTTTGTTCTTGTTGATCAATTATTTACAGGATATATTTATTTACGAAGAAGTTTTTGTTGTATTATCAAATAATCAAGTTAGAAAATTTGCTCAAGTTGTTGGATATAAAAGTAAATCTAAAAGGAAAGATACTGATCTAGTTAGAGTAACATATTTCAATCAATTTATTTTAGAAATAATAATTTTGTTTCGAAATGGCTATGTGCACCCAGACAGATATAGTGAATTAACTAGTAAATATTAAGTTATATCGTAGTTTTACTTTATTAACTCTTTATTACATTTTAAAAAAGTATTTATTATATTTTGCAACTGCGCATATATAGAAAAAAATATAATTTAAATAAAAATCAGTTAGCTAACAAACATTTTTTTCACTGTTTTTTCATTATATTTCATCGAAGTGCTCAAAATTCTCTCCGTTGTCAAATTGCTTGCTGAAAAAAAGAATCTTTATCTTGTTCCTTTTTCTGAGTAAATAGTACTGATGAACTACGTATTCACTATTTAGTGTTAAATCAAAAACAAAAACAATCAGACTAACATACGGGTGTACTAAAAATGAGATTACATTAAATGGGTTCATTTAATTTATAAATTAACTTTGTATATGTTTTAATTTCTCAATTTATACACTTATGAAAAACTATCATTAAAAGCAAAGAAAAGCGCTGAAACAATGCAATTTTCAGTATATTGTAATGAAATAAAAATTCAATTATTTAGTTCGAAGTCCAAGACAAGAACTGCTAAAAATATTTGTAAGCTGATTGATTTTAATTTAAATTAAATTTTTTTGCGTATATATGCAACTATTATATATAGTTCATACTTTTTTTGGATGTAATAAAGAGTTAATCAAGTAAAACTACTATTTAGTTAAGATATTTCATCTTGAGGGTATGGGCGAGAATATAGAGACGTAGTCCACACCCTCGTTTTCTTCATTGTGTGAATCTAATTATGATATTTAGTTTAGACTCTAGAAAATATTTTTAAGCATCAAAATCTTCTCCTTCGACTAGTCTTGTATGACGTTAATCGTAGCGTATTTAAATCTCATCTTTGACGTTTTTATTTACGTGCGTTAATATTTTAATTATACCTTATAGATTTTACAATATTAGAGGTGTGAGTGGGTGAGAGTATAAATGTTAATATAATAAAACCAACACTCGCATACACGTTCAAATCCATCAAAGACTAGAGAATCAATAGAACTGAAATTCTTGACATTAATCTGTATGATTCAGCCACTATTCATCGATTTACTCTGTCACACGATGTGGTTCTTTTGATGTAAACAAAAATATTTTTTTTATAAACTTATGTTTAATTCATAATACCAAGTCATCATCTAATAAATGATAGAGGATGAGACACGTTGACAGGAAAGCTAAATCTATTTTGAAAAAGATTACGAGATAGTAAAGAAAATATTATTTAGTATTATATTTACGTTCTTTTCAATTTTATTTAAGATTTACACGACAAATACAATATGTGATCACAACATAGAACAAATAATTGAAGTTCATTTTAGGCAAAAAAAAATTATTGTCGAAAAATAACTTTCTTAACTTCATTTCGAAAAGTTTTTGATACAATTAAATTTGCATAACAACTAATACAGAATGGAATACCAGTAATAAATAAACATAGATATCTAATAATATTTTCAATTTGTACTTGTTGATTACTTTTTATGTGATATTGTGTGATTTGTTGATACATAAGAAAGATTGCAAATACAAAACTAAATAAAGCATAAATAATGACATCCATAAGTAACATAAAGATAAGTTGACGATCTTTTGCAGAAGTAGAATGAGCACGATTTTCTAGAGTTCTTCCAGTCATAGATAAATGAGGAATATCTGTAATACGACGAGCACTATTTCGAATATTCTTTATTGACCATAATCCAAGTATAATCAGTGATGAAAACGATAAAATTTGTTCGAGAAGAGAATAATAACCTCCAAATGTAGTCTCAAAACCAGGTTGAAGAGTACAAAGGAAAGTATTAGGAGCAATTTGTACAATAGTTGAAGTAATCAATAAATGAGTATGAAATAATGACCAAAATAATGTTCCAATACCAATACACATATAAGCAAAACGATGTGTGCTTCGTTGCCGTGTATGAGCATTTGGTGATGTAATGAAAACTCGATCAATCGAAGCTAAAACTAAATAAAATGGACTTAAACAATTGAATAAAATAGTTACATAAAGACGTAAACGACAAATAGCCAAATTGTACATAGTAAGATCAATTCTATATCCTGCAGTTACTACCAAAGTCAGTAATGCTGTATAAATATAAAGAAAATTCATAATATTGTATGCAATAAAATAGATTGTACATGGACTTCGTCGTAGATTCTTCTGTGTAAAAACAATTAAGTTGATTATACAACTTACAGTACCTATAAACATTAAAAATGGACAACCAATTTGATATAAATATTTTTGTACTACAAGCAATTGAGAGATTGTGTCGGTGAGTGACGACATGATACTATTAGATATCTAAAAAATTAAGAAAAATACAAAATATTGTATGGCTTTTTTAGAAAATGAATAGATTATAAATATAAGATTTGTCAAATAAATCATTCTCGTCTTTTTTCTTGTGATATAAAAACTAATATAGAGCAATTTGTCTAATGGAAAAGATTATGCTATTTTATATTTCTATTTATATGTCATAACTTAGCAATTAAATAAAAAAAACAACTAGATTTTATAATATGCGTAGTATTTCATATATTTTCCTGCTAATCTATTTCTCTACTATAATATACATCATGCTGATTTAAAAGAAATAATAGTACTGTGTCGATTTTAGTGTGATTGAATACCAGACGTATCTATATAGAATTTATTTCGTTTCTTACGAAATATTAGAAGTAGCCTGATTGTATTGGTTCAACGAAAAAAAAGGAAGTGATTACCACAAGCAGAATGGTAGCGTAATGCTAAAAAATTGAAGAATCAAATCTAATACGTTAATGTAAAACAAATCTTTATGCCTCGAAAGACACTAATCTGATCGACAGCAGATAAAGTTTAAAAATAATAAGAAATATTATTTTATAAATAAAAGTCTAATACACAGAATGACAATTTAATATCGAATAGAAACATGACATACATCATGCAATTATTAGTCAAACATAAATTGACAACCTGTTGAAATATAATATGAACTATTTTCTATAGTTGATCTACCGACAGTTAAATTAGAAACAACTCAAATGTGATATACACTTCGAATATTCTCTGTAGATCATAATTCAAATATTATCATTAATAAGGGGTGGGTGTGGGTGTGGGTGCTGAGTAGGGACCTGCGGAGTCAACTTTTTTGGCTCCAACCAGTGTTGCCACCTTTTGAGGCCTAAAAAGCAGACAAAAAATTATAAAAAGCAGTAAATGACAGAAATTTCACCACCAAAATGCAGAAAAGGTATTTCATACATTAATCTACTAGGTGTGGGTGTGGGTGGTAATATGGATGAGAATATAGAACGGTAAAACACTCACACTCACACCCAAATCTCAAACTCTACAGCCAGATCCACATATACATCCACAGCCACACCTTCTCCAACGACTTCTTTCTCAGAACACTTGATGAAGAGAACGAACTTGATACGAGAAGACAGTAAATGTGATATCGATCATCAAATGCAATCTACATCACTGAGTAGTCGGGAGTGGCGGACTGAAAGGACGCCGACGACCGATTACGAGGTGAATGGACACTCCTTGAGGAAAATATAGTTGGGTTATGAAAGGACATGGAATATCTTTCATTAAAACATGTGGTGGAAGAGTTAAGCTTGAAATTTTATAAGCGTTAGCTGATAGTCGGTAGGTCAAAGTCAGTCGTGATTAAACTAACGAACTCAACGATTGCAGCTTGTAGATAATATAAGTTTGTTTACAGATATTAGTTAGAAAATGAGATTTACCTTAAAATTATATTACAAAAATACAAAGCTCTTTTTTTGATTTTTAAAATTCAAGTGAAAAGATTCGCGTCCGATTCAGATATAAATTGATAGACCGATGCTCTCAGTTTAGTATCAATAGAAAATAGTTTTGCCCTATACAGTCGAGGGTCAAGTGTGTCGAAGAGACGAACGTTACTTGTTTTTAAAAAAGCAGAAAGGGTGGCAACACTGACAATAACATACGTAACAGATGTAGATCTTTTCGATGTGTATATCCATGATTTGTTGTTATTGAATGAACTCGTCTTTGTGTTCGTCGAACATTAAAAATGGTAAACATACCAAGAATTGTCATGAGAATTGGTGGTAAAAGATAATTTATAATAGTTGCATACAACGTTATACAAATTGTATAAGTACCTTGTTCAATGTAACAATAAGAATAACCAGATTCTGAAAGTATGGTTGTACCAATTATAGCATGAATAGAAAAAACTATCCAAAAAATTGATGTACAAACTATTGCTCGCCAAGCAAAGCGTGGTTGACTCCATGAACGCGTTCTTACACTCAATGAACTCAACATTAATCGATCAAAACATGCTAAAATAATAAAACTCAATGATAGAATAGCCGTTAAAAAGGTAAGATAGAATTTAAATTTGCAAAATATCATCGATGTTCTTGCTGGATCAATATTATAACCTATAACATTAAAGTATATTTCTTAAATATGAATTATTTATAAATTTACCAATAGGAAGATCATTGAGCAAAATAGTAAAATTAATAAATATTAATCGTACACATGAAGCAGCAAGAAAATAAATCGCACATGAATTATTTCGAAATGTACGTTGAACAAAAATAATTATATTTAAAATTTCACCGATATTACACCAAATATCATAAGAATTGGTGAACTTATTCGAACAAGTGAAATTTCAGCAGTCTGAATAGCTTGAATAGTCGCCAAGATTTGCATAGATGATGCTGCCATTAGTTTAACTTTGTTTTCTCGAAAATAATCATTATATTGTATAGACAAAGCTTCTTTCAAATTGTCCTTTTTTTGAAATTAATTTTATGTTGATAGCTTCTTTTGTTATTGTCCTATAAATATATAAAAGAACAATGATTATATCTATCAAATTTATGACAACAATGAAAAATTATTTTGACAGCTATCAAAAGATAATTAAAATATATGACTGCTTTTGTAAAATGAATTTAACTGATTAACATTAAAAGTCATTAAATAACATCATATTTATATCAAGGCTTTGTTCTCATATAAAAACCTATTTATTTATTTAAAGAAAAAATATATTGAAAAGGAGCATCTAATTTAATGTGAAATATACAACAAATAATGTAATATGTTTGATAAGTCCAGTTATAAAATATAAACTTTACTCAGAGTCACCTGACTATGTAGAAATAGTTCGAATGAAATTCATTTTGTAAATATGTTGTATTATTCAAATATATGATACCTTAATCAATTTTAGAAGATACTCACAAACTTCAACAGTTTATATTAATGATCAATTATAATTATTTAGAAAACTAGATGAAATAGTGCATATGATATGTTATGTAGTTTTATTGATGTTTTTCCTGAATTAAGTTATGTTATTATGAATAAACATTGTAAACTAATTGTAGCTACAACTGATTGTGATAAATTAATAGTATTTACTAAATATTTGAAACATTCTGTTGGTGTAACCAGACTATTAAATACCGATCTAAGAATTTACTTTATATTATCCTTAGAACAACATCGTTCAAATTGATCTAAATTATATAACTATGGTCTTGTATCGATCAAAAATAAATTTCAGCATATTGGAGATGCAATGATACCATTACATGAAACGTTGACAAACATGTTCAAGCAAAGATAGAAAAAGACGCTTATAGTTTTTTTCAAAATAAAATTAATAAACGACATATTAAGTAATATTTACGTTTTGATAACATTTTACAAATATATATATATACATATTTATTACCTAGGCTATAGCTCATCAAACAGCTGCATTAATTGATTCAAAAATTCAATCATTACAACAAGGATGATTCTCATCAGATGATATAAATGATTTTGTATCTCCATCTTTTGGTGAATCTTCTGCAAGAATAATTTATATTCAATACTTTATAGTAGTTATAAAACAGTATTTCTTGTGAGTTATCATAATATTCATAAATAAGAATAATTTATAGCATCTTCAAAATATTTACGCAATACTATTGGTCTTTTCTAATTCCAGATATTCTTTTCGACAACATAATTATGTTTAAATAAACAAACTTTTAATACAATTTACTGCAGGATATTTTTATTTTGTCAGTCGTCAATTTATTGAAAAAGATTAAGTATTTTATTCTTTTTTTCATTATATGTCTCATGTTCTAATAAGAAAATAATCATACTGTATTTCGCAATATGATTTTTTATAGGATTAGAAGTAAATACTTGAATAGTCATAAAAGTATATACGTAAATGAATTGCATTAGTAATAAGCAATGAAATTAGACTTTTATTTTATGATAACCAGTGTTGCCACCTTTTGAAGCCCAAAAAGCAGTAAATGACAGAAATTTCACCACCAAAAAGCAGAATTTATCAGCTAAAAGCAGACAGTGTGACAACACTGCTTCTAGAGTCAGCTTTTCTGAGCCCGAAACCCGACTCCGACGGAATCGGAGTCATGATCGGGTTTCGGAGTACTTCGCAGCTCCAAAGTGCTAGGTGAATGTAGTATCCACACCCCACACCTACCCACACCCTCAAATTTATCAGCCTTTGGACATCTCCTCAATGCTCTAGTAAATCTAATATTTTTATCAACAAAAGAGATCTTTAGAAGAAAAAAAAGAAATTTGATTTAAATTGAATATTTTATCTTTTTGAATAAGTATTCATCAGAAACATATGGCTATAAAATCGCAATATACAGCCTAATTTTATGATTTAAAACATAATGTCTATAAATATGAAGAGTGTGAATAATATTGAATAAAAGATCCTGATGTTATGCCTGAAATATTTAAGTATGATCAGAAAAAAAACATAGAATATTCACCGAATGAATATACTTAGAGTGAAAAAGAAAAAGAAAATATAAAGTATTAATTCATGATTAGAGAAGTTTTTTTTAAGATCATTTCTCAGTTTTTAACACCGTAGCCATCTTCAATTTTTTCTTCTTAATCTTTCGTTCTTGCATAAATTTGTCTAGACCAATAAGTACAACACTTGATACAACCAATGTACTTCCAAGTAAAACCCATAAATTTGACTTCTTCTGTGTAAATAAATTCTGTAGAGTAATAGCATAGATAATATCTACTGATGAAACAATCGTAACAATAGATGGTGGTTCACGTTTTATAGCGCAATTTCCAGCGATTACTGCAAGTGTTTGTCCTAAACTAATTAGTCCAGCTAACCAATACTTCCATTGAAAGATTGTTAGTGTAAAGAATGTTATATCATTTAGAAAAAAATATTTATAAAAATGATTGAGTATCAAGCATAGAAGAACGACCAAGCTATGTTGTAATATTAAAACACTTGGTTTAATTTTTAAAGTGATCAGTTGTTTGAAGATTAAAATGTTGAATGCAAATATAAGACCTGACATTAGTGCAAGAGATATTCCAATTACTCGATTGCTGTATGAATGCATGTTGTCTACATTTGTTTCATTCAATGTTGCTGTTGTTATGTTAAAAGCGATCTTCATTTCATTCTTTTGTGGAAAAATAAATGTTGGTTGTGCTACGAATATCACACCAATAAATGTAAAACAAACAGATAAAAGAATCATTATTGTCGGCTTCTCTTTATATATAAGTAAACCAAAGAGAACTGTCCATATTAAACGCGAGAAGCTGAGTGTTGTTAAATCAGGCAGAGGAAGATAACGAAAACCAATAAAAAATCCCAGAAAAGCAATACCAGTTAAAATACATAAAATAAATTGTAACCATTTTTCTTTTGATGATCCTACCAGTACTGCATAACGATGGTAAATAACGAACGCAAGAAATAGAAAAAGCTGGACAATAAGACGTACGACAAGTACATCGAGTAGATCAAATTCTAATTCTTTAACAATAAACGTTGCCGTGACGTAAAGAAAAGATGCTAGAAGACCATACAGAATACCAGATAGAGCGAACGGTCTTGATGCAGTTACTGTTTCACCATTATTATCATCTTCTTCTTCCTCTGCTGCTATTAATAGAACCGGTTCTAGCATTGTAGCTATAGATGAACTACGTCGAGTTTTTGCAACACGATCATTGTCAATCGAAGATGAAGGTATTAACAAACGCTGTTGATTATTACTATCCTGTTCTATTATACTCATATTGATTCTTTTCTGTTTGATGCACAAATTTTTGAAAGAAGTATATAATATGATGCCCAATAAACTGGCATCTTCAAAGTGTAGAAAGAAAAAGAAAAGAGTATATACTCTCTTTCTGTATAATTACTTTTTTTGTTGAAAGAGCACCCTAAAACCATAAACATTTGAGTTTGAATGAAAAAAGAAGTGATATTCAAGTGAAAGAACAGAAAAAAATTGGCCTTGATGAAAAAAAATACCTAAATATATTTTTAACTGCTGTCAGTGAGTGCAAAAGAGTTTTATCTTTATATCGGCTAGGGAAAACCGAGATTTATATCTCAGAAACTTTTTATCAATTTGGTAGACATGCAGCAATTCTTAAGTAACATATGTTCGAATGATGAAATTTTAAGTTGAAATATTCATGCTGATTCTGTAAATGTATTGCAGTATTATCTTATATATTCTTATCATATAATAGAATGTCTACAAAGTTACTGAGCAATGAAAATTTTGAATATCTTCACCAGATTGCAGTCGAATGAACGATTTATTTTATTCTTACTACAGCAATTATTTTATTTTGATTCAAATGATAAACTTCTAAAAGTCTTCTTTTGAATTTATATGAGATTTAAATTTTTATTTTATATATCAGTTGCAGTACATGAATGTTCCGATAAAATCGCATAAGAATAAAAAGACGTCATTTATGTTAAATGAAAGCTCCAGACATGTTACTTTTTTAACTCTCAAAGCAGAAAGGATGTTTTTGATACAGAAATCTAGTATAAATTATTCAAAATCGAGAAAAAATGGTTGCACAAATAAATATAATTATTAAATGTATATTTCTTGCTATTTGATTTCATGGCTTTGAATAAATTTTCATTGCCCAAAAGAGCAGTGCCTTTTGGCAATACACTTGTAGGAGACAAGTATTATCGAACTCAAAACAATCTATACTCCAGTTAGAGGGAACTACAGGGCTATTTTATGAAAAAAATATGAACAGATCAAAGCAATTATTGATAAGAATTTATCTCTATATTTTTAAAAGTATTCTTTCTAATAATATAATATAAAATAGAGCAGAAAAAATGAGAAAAAAAAAAGAAAGAGCAGAAGTTTACTCCTAGAATCAGGAGAGTTGGTATTTTTGGAAAGCTCGTTAAAACTGAAATTTATTAATACTGAATATTAAGAATGATGCAAACTTTTCAGTTCTTATGCTTAAGAAATTGTCAGATATTTTTCATCTTACGGCGTATAAAATTAGGTATTAATTATTGAAAAACGAAGTAGAACTCTTTTTTTTCTTAGATATATCCACACGATGAAGCCGGTTAATAAACTATGTTTTATGACGAGAAACCCAGAAAATAATTTAGCAGATCTTAAAGAATCCTACAAAAGAAGATATAAGTTTTGGTAGTATTCCTCAAGATCTACTAAATTCATTTAACATCAAGTTGATTAATTATTTTATGTGAGATTACAGCGACAACCCCTATAAATAATATTACTTCCTTCTTGTCTATTTTCTAATTCATTACTCTATCGGAACGTGACATGGTCTCAGTCTTTTGATTAGATGACATCCTGTCATTCTACTTTTGTGATGTCTTCAAAAATTTTCCGACAGCTAAATTAATCAACAGTAGTTACCCTTGTTTCTATCTATATCTCTCGATATTATTGTTCATCTGGCAAAGATATTTCATTTATTCTGTGTTGAGCTTCTGTGTTAGTCAATTGACAAAGACGTTTCACTATGTATTTTATGAAGACTTTGTTTTCGATATAGATAGGAATTGACATACATGGTCTTATAATTTTATTTCATGAAATGCAGAATTTTTTTCATTTTTTTTATTATGATAGATTTCTTGAATCATATAATGTCGTCACCAGCTGAAGTTAATTTTATTACATACATAAATAATGTTTCGGCTCAAATCAATCGATATTTATCCATTTTTATCTTTCTTTTCGGCACAGTAGGCAATATTCTAAATATTCTTGTTTTATCTCAACGATCATTTCGTTTAAATTCATGTGCAACATTATTTTTGGGCTCATCTATAGCTAATTTTATTGCTATCATTACTGGTCTCACATCAAGAATGTTATCAGGTTGGGCAGCTGATTTGACAAATACAAATAGAGCTCTTTGCAAACTTCGAGCTTTTGTCCTCAATGTTGCAAGACCAATGGCATTTTGGCTTATACTATTAGCTGGTATCGATCGATGGTTATTATCCAGTCCAAATATTCGTTATCGACAGATGAGTTCATTAAAAAATGCGCAACGAAGTATAATTATTGCACTAATTTTGTCTTTACTTCTATTTTCTCATATAATCTATTGCTATGAACCAAATTTAATTAATGCTCCATTGAAATGCTATGGAGTAACAATAGCATGCCGTGTAGCAACGGATCTCTCACTTATGTTTATCGTTATTTTTTTTCCATTATTGTTTATGTTAGTATTTGGTTTCATGACTATTAAAAACATACGTCATTCACGAGATCGTACACGACCTGGTGATATATCAATGATAAGTATGAAATGGCCAACATCAACAAATAGAATTCATAAACAACAACGAAATAAAATTGATGATCATCTTCTTATAATGCTCTTTGTACAAGTTCTACTTCTCTTTATATTTGCCCTCCCGTTGGGTGTCCAAAAATTATATTCAACAATAACAACAAATAGAGTTTCATCACAAGCACAAGTTGCTATCGACAATTTTGTCTACAACTTTGCTTTACTTCTTAATTTTGTGGCTAATGGAATGCCATTTTATATTTATACATTGGTTGGTGGAAATATATTTCGAAAAGAACTTCAGAAAATGTTCGCAACAGCAAGACAGAAAATTTGTCGTCTATAACAATAACGTTACATATAAAATCAAGATTTTTTTTAGTGGAAAAGTTTTCTAGAATCGTTAAAGACATCTCATTTAAATCAATGAATGGTTACATTACTCATTTATGCAATCAATTCAAAATAAAATAAAGTGATTGAAATAGTTCGCTTCGCTTCGATTATTTCATATTCTATTCCCATGAAATATACTATGACAAAACATACTTCTAATATGTATTTTTTTCTTCTGTGTACACTTTAAGTTTGCGAGCACTTGAAGTGCGCGCGTACTTTTATAGTAATGAGAGAACGAAAGAAAAACTAGATATCTCGTCAATGATCTTGAAATTTTAGAAAATACGTAAGAATAATTTTTCACATCGAACTTTAGAGCTCCAAATAAATGTAAATATTAAAAAGAAACAGATTATTGAATAAGTCTATATTTTATCTTAAAACAACAGATAAAAAGGATGTGAATGTTCAAACATTGACATTTAATCGCATTCATCCAAACTCTGAAAATGTTTCTTCAACATGCGCGCACTCTCGGTTCATCCGTCCTCGCCGTACACACTTTTTTTTTTGGTAAAGATTAGTCATCCGTTTCCTTTATAAAGTCGACGAGCATCTTTGCGTTCTGTTCTATTTTTTACTTCTCCTCTACCTGCTTCTTTTTCTTTTCCATTACCATCAATACATTGATTTTAATACAAACAAACATCATTCACCTTCACGAAAACAAAAACCGATCAGCTACTGAACGCTTCCTTCCATTCTATTGTTTTATTCCTACTAATATTTTTTTCTTTAATACTATAATCATACGTGAACACGTAAAGAAACTCTTACGCTCATTATTTCTTTTAGGAGAATAGATTCTATGAAAACTTATTTTTAGAATTATTTATTAATTGATAGTTAGTTTATTATGTCTAATGGAAACACAACTCTCAGCTATACACCGGGCGGTGCTGATGATCCAGCAAATCCATTTCATTATATGCCTTCGATGGCTCCTGCCATTGTATCCTTAATCTTCTTCACCCTCTTATTTATTATTCTCACCATTTTGACGATTTGGAAACGAAGTTGGTATATGATTACACTTTTAGTTGGATGTATTTTAGAAATCATAGGTTATGCAACTCGAATTCCATTAGTTTTAAATCCTGTAGGACAAATTCCTTTATATGCATGTATGAATGCTTGTCTCATCATTGCACCTGTATTTAATGCTGCTATTGAATATGTATTGTTTGGTCGATTAGTACATGCTCTAGGTGATCATTATTCATTAATCAAACCAAAACTGATTGCTTGGATTTTTATCATTTGCGATGCCTTTTCATTTTTAATACAGATAAGTGGTGCTGGACTACTCTCCTCAGCTAAAGGCAATTCAGAAAGCGCAAAAACTGGCCAGACTATTCTTCTAGCTGGTCTTGGAGTTAACCTCGCATCATTTGCTATTTTTTGTCTCCAACTCGTCTATTTTGAATATCGTATAAGAAGATTATCTCCCATCATTACAAATGGTAATATCTATGAGAAACGTTGGCGACGATTCCTCTACATTATCTATCTCAGCAGTACTTTCGTCTTGATTCGACAAATCTATCGTGTAATTGAATTTGCTCAAGGTTTTACTGGTTACCTAGCAGTTCATGAAGTCTATTTTTATATTTTTGATACTATACCTATTTTTATATCCAGTGCCGTTTACACTATTTGCTTTCCTGGCAATGGTTATCTGCCACCAAATAAAAATGACACTTTTGCTACTATGCATAACAATGAATACAATATAACCCGTTGGAGACGATTCAATTTTGCTAGAAAATAGCTTAAATTTATTGATTTTCACGTATATTTATCCTTTACAAATACACCTGTGAGCTTTTTTTGAGAGTATATAATCGTTTGTGTCTTTTTGTCTTGTTTTTATAAATACATGAAGAATTCTCGTTTCTATTTTATTGTATAGTTATTGAAAAATACGACGACACCATACATGGAAATACAAGAGAAAAAATAAGATAGTACATAAATGATGATATCAATTGGTACAACTTTTTCTTTAAAACAACACATTAAATAAGTTAGATATTAGTAATTAGAAGTCGATCTAGAAAATGTCGAACATGTTCTTCTTCTCGATGTACACATAGAACATTACTCCATCGTTTTATATCAAACGCAGGAGACCAACAATTTGTCAGTCGTGCCAAACCTGTTTTACCAAGCATATAACAGATGAAACCTTCTTTACTAAGGAACTCGATGACTGTTAATAGACTAGTTGTTTTCCATGTTCCAATTCCATGATTTTCAAATATAAGTATTCTAATTTGTTTTTTTGCAAATAATTTTTTTGCACCTTGAAGAACAAGTGGATCAGCACCTTCCGTATCAATTTTAAGTAAATCAATTTTCTGTTGTATATTTTTTTGTTCAACAAATTCATCAAGTGTTATTGTCGAAGTTTGAAAAACCTTTTCATTTGATGTAGAATGATCTATGGCCAACAGCCCGCATAATTCACTTCCTACAGGACATTTTTTCATATTAGCTATACCTGTAGTATTACTAATCGCTATTTTATGAATATACAATGTTGAAATATTTATCCAAGTGCTTACTTGACGAAGAGCTTGATAAGTACTTTCCATTGGTTCAAATGCATGAATTTCAAGTGTAGTATTAATACGATTATTTGTCTGTACGCTGTTTGATATTGTTTCGTTACAATCTGTACAAACGCCACAATCATCGATTTTCAGCACTTGTGAAAGATACATGTATAGACTTTTTGGATTGACACCTATTTCTGGCATCCACATAGATAACCATAAAGCTATAGTATAACCTTTATTCGCTCCAATATCAAATAAAAGCTTCTTTTGTTGTAACGATTTATTTAAATCAGCAAGATATATCATGGAAAGATAATCGTTTCCATAACAAGCTGACCAAATATTGTCTTTAGATAAAAGCTGTTGAAATTTATTCGCTTGAGTTAATATACTAGCCAGAGAACATATCTTTTCATTTGGATAGGTACTCTGAGACATAGATTGTGACAATCTAATCAGTTGCCATAGTTCGGATAAATGATTTGAAATAATTTTATTTATAATCACGACATTAAATGTAATAAATGTTATCGACATAATACATATCATAAGAATACAACTTTTGTTTCTGATAGACATTTCTGTGATCAATAGGAAATAATCATTAATTCATAGATATGATCTTTCTAGAACGAAAAAGGAGTCAAACAAAAAATCAATTAAATTAAATCTATGTTTTACTAAAATTTTAGGGATTGTATCGAATCATATGAAATGTAACTATATATATGCAGTACTTATAATCAACTATAAGTTGTGAGTAAATTAATACATTATAAACGTACAGAATATGATATTCCTACGTTTTAACATATTGATTGATTTGAGGAGCGATTGAAAAATATTTCACTCAAAGAGCTTTAATTAAATAGGAAGTGTCTAGTCTTACTTAACTCAATATGTATTTGTCATAGACTTATGCTGAATATCCTGTGAAATCACTTCTTTTGAAGAATACATTATTTCTCTATGTTTAAGCAATCACTATTTTTTCTTGTAAAAATACTTTCGATTTTCGGACAATAGTCAATATCATCTAGTTCTTATTTATAATAATACTTACTAAGCGTTTGATTGTAGCAATAAATATGATATAGTATGTATCGTTTGAAATAGGTTTTTTTCTCTTTCTTTTCAACTATAAATGGAATGGTGTGATGTATTTTCTTCATCTTCTCCGTTTCATAGACTTCATTTGTTAAGGTAGCATTAAATTGGCTGAATTAATAATAAATATGGCAAATCCTTTTTCTGTTCTCGGATTATGCTACGACAGAAAAAAAATTTTAAATAATCACCGCAAGCCGTACCCTTAATAAAACAACGACACGATGGAAATCAATATTTTTTTCTTCATTCTAATTGTTCTTTCTTTCCGTTGTTAAATATAATGATTGTATAGTACAAATAGCAATAAATACTGTTAGAAATTTATATTAGTATAGCAGTGTGCAATAAAAAAAGTGAAAATAATATTTATCGATGTAGGTATAGTTTAAGAGACGATAAAGGATATTGTATTATTTAATTCATCAGAATTTGATAAATGAGCTGTAACTCTTATTGTATTGCTTTCTCTTGTGATTGACTATCTTATTGTCATTGTAAAAATACTAAATTACACACAACTTCAAAATCATTGGTGGTATCATTGAGTTTCTTTTGCTAGAAATGAAAGGAATTCATCTTGACTGATGTTTGTTAACAGGAAATCATGTGCATTCATAAACATAAACCACTTGATACTGTACAATAGGTAGTGTGTGCATCCCAAGAAAATCTTATCTAAAATTCATATGTGAATGTTGCAGACTTTATATCGCTGCCATTGTCTCTAGTTGCTGAAATGAGTTTTGATTCAATGCTTGATCTTTTAATTTAATTAAGTGTAAATGATTGTAGTTGTGTACTCGAGTGTCAACTAGGAACCTATCGCAAAGAGATAATATTAGACAAATGATGATGATTTTCGTCAAGATTGTAAGCAATAATTACTAAAAAACATAATTCCGACGAAAATTTACTTAAAGTTTGGTAGTTAATGAAATGTATTTAAATATTTGTTTTAATAAAAAAAAGGTTAATCGTGACAGATCAATAAAATTACATTTGGTCGTTTCAGGTAAATGCTGCGTCGTACTATATCAAAATAATTCGAATGATCAACTGTTCTTCGCGATACATGCTATTGCGGTATGGATTGGAACAGAAATAAATAATCATGTATATCGCGCTCAAAGCTAAGATGGCTCTGTAGATTGCTTGCAGAGAATGGATCATAAACTTACTCATAGTTAATTAACAGAACTAACTAAACATGTCTATATGTAAACAATAATCGTCAATCGAAACTGCATATATTCATGATCTTTTCATTCCTTTGAAAATAATATACTGCTTTTGATAGATTAAATTGATATTCGAGGATGTACGCGTGGGTATTATCTGTATTCATCCACACCCACACCCTTCAATGGGAAAACGATATAACCATGTTATTGAATTCATATTTGATATAAATTCTATACTAAAAAAAATAAATATGTTGTCTTCTCATTATATATAGAAAATGTTCTGCTTCGTAAAATTGTTCTCTCGCTATATTCATATATTTAGTTTCGATATTTTTTTGTCCTTAGTGAAAATCTTTCTTATACATAATATTACTATCTGATCTTTTACGTTTGTTTATACTTTTAGAAAATTGTAATAACAATAATAAAGATTTGTTTTCAAAAATATTTGAATTTATCATTATTTTTTTCAATACTAAATATATTTGTTGTATTATAAGATGAGATTATTGTCAAACAAGATATTATGATACACTATAACAATTTAGTTATATTTTTAGATTTCTAATTATACAGAATATTAGTTTTTAAGAGACTAAAATAACACAAGAAATGTTATTTTTGAATAGTTAAGATATCATGTATATACCTGTACATAATTTTGAGGATGGGTCTGAGTGTTGGTGCTAGCTAAATATAGTATCCATACCTAAACGTGCACGCACACCCACCCACCCATTACATTCATGACTGAATAACTATATTTGATCAGTCAAAATTATCCTAATACTATATGAAATATATATATATGTTGAATAAAAATATATCATCATGATAAGGATGTCTGACATAAGAAAATGTAAAAGTAACGTATAGTATTCAACATCATGCTTACATGTAAATTTTATCATATAAAGATAACAGTATAATAATACTTTGGTGTTGAATAGAATATGACGCATATTTTATCATTCTTGTGAGAGCATTAGACAAACACAGGTTAGTTTTTAAATTAAAGTCTTTTATAGATCAAAATATGCATACGAACAAAGCTTATATCGGACTTGCCGGTGAAAACAATAAACCAGACAGATGGTGGCATCATCGACGGATTAAGATCATTGGAATATCTTGTACAATTTTAACAATGTTCGCAATCACTCTTTTTCTATTGTTAAAATTTGTCATTCTTGCTCCGGAAACGTCAAATAATACTACCACCACCAACACTACGATAACGTCAACATACACAACAATCCCTACCACCACGATGATAACATCAATTGACACAACAATACCCACTACCACTTCGATGACATCAATTGACACAACAGTCACTGATACCACTACGTTAACATCAACTTACACAACAATACTCACCACTACTTCGATGACATCAATTGACACAACAATCCCTACCACCACTATAATAACATCAATATATACAACAATACCCACCACCACTACGACAACATCAACTTACACAACAATCACCACTACCCGACAGTCTCGTGAGTTTCAGAAACTATTTTATATTAATAGTAAAATTTTTTCCACATATGAACTTGAGGATATTTCAATACTTATATTCTTAAAACAATAATATTCAAATGATTTCGTTTAGAATGGTCTCATACTCATAGTATGCTATATACACGACGAATACATACAGCATCTGTATTAACAAATGAAAAAGTGCTGGTTGTAGGTGGATACAACGGCTTTGTTCTAAATAGCGCTGAGTTATATGATCTATTGACAGAAACTTGGACAGGCATTCATAGCATGCATGAGATACGATATGCACACACGGCATCTGTATTAGCAAACAGTAAAGTATTAATTGCTGGTGGATACGATGGTACCTTTGCACTCAATAGTACAGAGTTGTATGATCCATCAACAGGAAATTGGACAATCGCTAGCAGGATGAATGATGCACGACATGCACATGCAGCATGCATACTGGCAGATGGAAAGGTTTTAGTTACAGGTGGAGAAATTGGTATTTCTACTTTAAATAGTGCTGAATTGTATGATCAATCAACAGGAACTTGGACAATGACTGGTCGTATGAATGATGCTCGAGATTCACATACAGCAACTGTATTGAAAAATGGGAAAGTATTAGTTACTGGTGGACAAAGTGGTACTAATATTGTTAGTATTACTCTCAATAGTACTGAATTGTACGATCCATCAACAGGAACTTGGACAATGACTGGACATATGAATGATGCACGTGAGGTACATACAGCCACCCTATTACCAGATGGAAAAGTATTGGTTACTGGCGGACAAAAAGATAATGATATTCTTAACAGTGCTGAATTATATGATCCATTGACAGAAACTTGGACGATTATTGCAAGCATGAAGAATACACGAGAAGTACATACAGCATCGTTATTAATGAATGGAAAAGTTTTAATTGCTGGTGGATATATGGGTAATACTACAGAAATTTATGATCCAACAACGAGTACTTGGGTAGATGGTGGTGACATGAATGATGTACGAATATCACATACAGCATCAGTATTAACGAATGGAAAAGTATTAGTTACTGGTGGATTTGGTAATGTTAATTATCTAAGTAGTGCTGAGCTGTATGGTTAATCAACAGATGAAAATATCTACGAAACTAGTTATACAATAATCGATAGTAAACATTTATAATATATTTAAAGCAAATTAACAATACAAGCCTAAATATTTTATTCACATATGTTGTTAACTATTTTTCATTTTTGATTTTCATGTAATTTCTCACTAGTTCACTTTTAGTATATGATAAAAGAACCTGCTTGTCCTGTTTATGAAACTGAGTATATGACGAAAACAAAATCGGATCGCAATAGGAGTCTTTATCAAAACTTATTATCTTCAAAACAAAATTAGAAGTCTAATGGACTTCTATTCTAGATAGAAAATTGTTAATCAATTTTCGAAAGTATTTATATTGAATAATTAAATCTTACAATTTAAGAGTTGAACTTAATATATTGTTAAATATTTAAAAGTTATTTCGTATGAAATTTGTTATACAATTTTGAATACGACATACTCTAGATCTTATTTGTCGAGAACATCAAGATTATATTTGAATCAGGGCTGCCAAATCTCCTAATTTAGCCAGGAGTCTCCTGGTTTCTGAATTTTCTTTTAATTCTAACTTTTAGCGATACCTTTAATCCATAAAATGAGATAATAGAAAGGGAGAAAAGAAAGCGAAGAACAGGAATATCACATGATTTGATAAATGCAATAACCAATAAAAAACATGTCAATCTTGTTCTTAGTTATGCAATAAAACTAAAAAATAATTTAATTCTTGCAAATGATTTATACTGCAAAAACTTATATATTGTAAATAAAAGGAGAGAATACCTTAAACATTCCTCAAAATGTCTTCGTTGGAAGATGCTGAAATCATTGAAAGAAAATGTCATGCCGTAAGCTGAATCTAGTCCATTAAAAATAATTTTACACTTTGTGCTTGATTTCCAAATAAACGATGAAATGAAACATACTTATTGTCATTATTTTTTTTCATATATTGTATTACATAGAAAAATGTGCCACAATAACTTATTAGGAGAAAACTTTCATCTTTTGTATAGAAGAAAAATTCAATTTCTTTCAAAAAAACAAACAAAACTTTTTTAATTTTAATTAAAAATCTCCCGGTTTATTCTCCTGGTTTCAAACAAGGATCTCCTGGCCAAACCCTGGTTTTCTAAATTTGGATTTGGCAGCCCTGATTTGAATGGAAAAAAAAGCATGAAAGTATTTATATTGAATATTGCTTATAACGTCTCAACAAAATATATTGATACTGTTATGTCAATTTAATTTAAATATAATATAGTCATTATAACTTAAAACACAAAAATCAGTTTTTACTGATATCATAAATCGTCTAGTGAAAAAAAACGACGTAATTATATAATAGATGTTATTGTGCATGATATAATAAAAAAACAGACGTGTTATTCTATTGAGACAGAATAAATATGCTGATAGACAAACGTCTGTGTATTTGACTTTCTATGACGTCTATAAAAAAAATCTGAGTATTTATTGAATAAAACATTTATTTGAAGAATTTAATGCGACTGTGTTTTTATCATTTCTCTCTTAGTCGATTAATCATACGGACATGATTTATCACTCTCTCGTGTTTTTTTTCGCGGAATATTTTTTTCAGATAAATAATAAAACTCTCTCTCTCGTCTGTAATAATACTGTTATTAATCATTTGATTTTTTAACGAATGACTGAGAAGTTTTCTGAAGCTCTTTTGCCACCAATTGGTGGACAAGTAAGAAGAAAGTTTTTTTTTTCTATATATTTGTCTAAATTTTGAATTTTCTATAGTTGATAAATATTCCAAAAGATATTCAACAATTAACAATCAAGGATGGAACTATATTTATTGGAAAAGAACATTCGTGAGTATTTTCTCAAAATCATATATCATCAATTAACTTATTTTATTTAGTAGCCATCCATTATTGTCATTATGTCGATATTTATTGGTATTCGGTTTATTGATGGTTTTTGGAATGGGAGTAATTACGATTACATCAAGATTTCGACAAGGACCTACACTTATTTTTGGTATAAATTATCTCATTAAGATATTTTTTTTTATTCTTTTTCCTTTAGTTAATCAAGCGGATAGTTCACGTACTGATTCATTGGTCAATCGTAAAACTACAGGTAATAAAATTTGCTGAATTTTTTTAATATATTAATCTTTTTTAGAGTCACCGACTACAAGAGTAACAACTGCTCAAATGAGTATGTATATCTGAATTTATTTTAAAAATTTATTTAAGTATAAAAAATAAAATTTAGCAAATCGTGAACCAAATATGGCGGGTCTCTTTTCAATTATGAATCCGACTGCAAGTTTGTCCCGTTACTATCAAGTTAGTACGGTCTATATAGCAAAAGGTTATCAAACAACATTATCATTCTTTATTCAAGATGGCCCGTCATACACATATCTTGATGATGTATCAGTCACTGATTCATTAGGACGACAATTACTTAACAACGGTGATTTTGAAAATAGTACTTATTCGTCTGGATGGGTAGGTGCAAGTATTGATCAAAATGGTAATGCACATACGGGCCAGGGATGCCATCGTGAAGGTACCTCGACAGGGCATAATGTCTCGCAAATGTTTTATACAATACCTGGAGATATACTCAATATTAGTTTCTGGATTAAATGGGGAGGTACTGGTCAAACTGTTTCAAGCAAAGTCACTATTTATCCATAATTATTCGAAATATCAATTAAACACAATTAATCATTCTTTGAAAATGCTTTTTCCTTTTTTAAGTTTAATTGCAATCCCATCAAGAAATATCCTATCCTGCTATACGAATATCAATAAATAATATCGAAAATACTCCGTACTGCACGGACATAGATCACAAAATATGCAGTCAGACATAAAATTTATCTTTTAAGACATTTATAGAGTGTGGGTCCGGATCTCGGTGTGAGTGAAAATTAAATATAATACTCATACCCACACCCTCCAGAGCTAGATGTATATTAAGTATTTGATTTTAAACGTTTTCATTCCACACATTTTTTTTCTTTGCAGTCATATCCAGCTCGTTCTTTACATCCGAAAACAAAAATTGAAAAGTCAGTATAGAGCCAATCATATCCACCACCGTTTGCAGTAAATTCATATATGCAACAACCATAATCAATAAAAGACATATTGACCTGTTGTGGTATTTGCCAATTATTTTTTTCGAAAATAATTCTATTGAACTTAGCACATTGTGTACCATTGTAAATCCCTGATGGTCGTACTTTAAACTCAACTTTGACTTGCCCACCAGATGACTGAACTGGCGGTGTTTGCAATTTTATTGTAAAATAATCTTGATTATGTGGAGTTACCACAAAACTATTTTGGGGTTCGATAGTATAACCTAAAAATAATCAATATATAACAACACAAGTTGCTGAAAACTATAATTTACCTGCATTTGCATTTCCACAATAACCAGGCCATTGAGCAGGTAGATTGAATAAATGTTCCGCTTCTGATGGAATACCACGGATGAATGATAGGTAAACTGTAGTTAAGTATCTACGTATACATATGTAGTTATTTATTTTCTCATTAAAAACATGAAATATATATTTACTCATCATTATCAAAAGATTCAGGAGGAGAAGGACGTGCTTGAATGGTTTTAACTGGTCTATCTTTTGTTTCAAAATAACTAAAACATGGAACTTTGCCAATACGAGAGTGTATCAAATCACATATTTCCACTGTATCATATCTCTACAACAATGAAAATCTGTTTTTTTATTATATATTATTCACTCTGAGGCATATTAATTTAAATCACAATGAATAAGTTTTAGCATCTGTATAGAACCTCTATCAAAGGAAGTTAACGTATGAAAGATAAATCTTGTGTCAATTCTAATCGAAATAGGAAAACTTACTGTTGCATTTAATTGAAGTTCTGGTATCCATTCTTCACCCTTATTAATAAGATTTGGTGGTAATGAATATCATGGATAAATTTGAATATAATTTTCTACGCCATTCAACCAACTGATTGGAAATGGACCTACATCAAGCATTGAGTTTGTTCTATACCAACAATCGTTCTAAAAATCAATTATTTGAAACAGAAACAAACAAGAAAAATCGTCTTTTTACTTTTGTAAAATATGGATAATCAGGATTGAAATTAAACATTGTATAACCTTGTGAAGCTGACTAAAAAAACATTTTATGATTCATTTTTTTCTCGAAAATCGATTATTTTCTACTTACTGAATCTGCTTCGGCACCTTTGGGTTTATATTGAAGCATCCACGTTTCACTTTGATTTGCTCGGGATCCTTGAATATCGAAACGAACTCTTAAGTTATCAAAATCATACAATAATTGTTTAACACCTGGAAATGGTGAATCCCAAGAACCTAGTCCACTTATATTTAATATGGCTTGAAATTGTTTTGGAAAACCATTTTGACTTACACATTGATTAACAAATAGAATCAATAGGATTGAAATTATCGTTTGTTTCATTTGTCAAACTGTCTCGTGTAATTCTCAATAATAGAAAAAATCTGTATCAAAAATATAAAAAAGTTATCTTTGTATATAGATGTTTGTTCTGTCATTATTAAGGATGATAAAAAAGAGTAGTCAGCCATTCACACTAGGCAGTATGACGCAGTAGAACGAAATGAAAAGAAAATATACGACTTCTCCATATTCTATAGATAATGTATATCAGTGACAGAACGAAAAACATGACTGCTATTTTTTCCATCCTTATTAACACAGATATTATATTGTAATACCAATTGTAATGTTATATAAAATGCACAAGTAAAGAAAGAATCTATTTCCAGATGTAAATAAATATCTTGAGGGTCGGTGTGGGTGAGTGCGCATGAAAGAAATAGATTAACCTAAGCCACACCAACTCGCAAGATACCAAATGATATTAGAATAATAAAACTTGTTTTAAATTGGTTGGAATTTGTCTGAGAAAAATTTTCGAAACAAAAAAAAAACAAACGAAATAATATAATGTAGATGCAAGCATGATGTCAGATAAAATTTGTTTTTTACTTTTATCATTATTTCAAAACAACATCGTTATAGTCTACTTTTTATAAGATTACTTTTTTAAGTTAATAAAAAAATATTTTTAGTTCTCCTTCATTCAAATACATTATACGTGCTTTTCTCTTTTTGATGTAAGTCAATGAATCATTCATTATTAACACTTCATACTTTTGAAGATAACAAGTTTAAAGAAAAAGTGGCCTGGTATGAATATGAATGTGGATGACAATACCGATGTAGTTATTCTATTATTCTTTATATTACACTCTTTTCTATGGTTCATTTCAAAATTCAAAATTTAATAAGTGGGGTATCGAATGTGAATGTCAATTAGATGAGTGTGGATATGGATATGTGTCGACTACTAGACTCAAAAACACACCCACACCCACCCTCAAGACAATTGACAATGCTTTCTTTTCATCATTGGCTAATAGAAATTTTTTTTTAAATTTTTATTTGATTAATATAGGATTACGCGGGTTCATTACAAACAAAAAGCTTATAGTAAGTAGAGTGTCAGTGGAATTGTTGTGAAAGTCTAAAACCCATCAATCATATGTGAGCCGCTATGTCACTCTTGGTGTTATTTCCGGTCTTCGTTCAACTAAACGATTAGGGTGAAGATGAAATATTGCAACCAATCGTCGAAACAGATGGATCACCTCCGCTCGAAAGGTGGCACCTGTTAATGTAAACAAGTAGAAATTAGCACTATGGCCAATAAAAGAGAAACCGGTTGCGATAGTATAGAAAAGATTGTCACCGGATACCTGAAGAGCATTTTTTGATTTTGTCGCCGTAAAAGCTGTATAAAGCTTATTGGCAGCCACAAACAATGTAGCTACTGTAATGAGTATGCATTGAAAGAGCAGCATAAACAACATTTGTCGATCCATCTTACGTTTGCGTTTTTCATTTTGAAGATCAGCTGCAGTAGTTGTGATACGTATGTTGTCACCAATAGGTCTCACTCGTTGTACCCGATTGTGAATCGCACGAGTATTACGAAGAGTTAAGAGACCGAACGCCAGCATGAGTAATGGAGGGCAGAAACAGTATATGGCACAGTAGTAGAAAGACAGGAAAGTTCGATAGAAACCATTTTCACCATTGCACGTAAGTACCCCGCTGCTGTATGCAATCTTAAAATAAATGGGCATATGAAAATAAGCCATGAAGGCAAGTAAGACTGTGATCGGTACAACACGATGAGTATTTTTAATACTGCTGAAACGACGAGTGTTTGCGTTCCGAGAACTACAAATGAACCTAAATAATCCTTAAAGATGATATTGCATTTGATCAATGTTTTAGACACTTACCGATCAGCACAAGCTACCACTAAAAACCATGATGCCATGACTCTACAGAGAAAATATAAGGAAAAAAAAATTAATAAATCGATGCGATCTAAAATGCTAGTATAGAATAGTTTATATTGGTGAAGTCCACTCGTATTTTGTTTGTCAAAAAGAAGTCAACATCGTTTTTCTTCTCAGTAATTGGATGATATGGCTGAAGTAAGAGTAGTATAGCATTTTTCAGCGTTTGTACCGTACACACATACACCCTCAAGATGGTCTATCTGCAATGAAAAATATCGGCTCACCTGCACGAATAGTTGACGAAGTATTCAAACTTGCAAAAAGCCAGTGAAGACAAAGCCGGATCGATGTTGTAGCCCTGTGAGAGGACACGCAATGGGAGAGCCATACACATGAGAACTAAGGAGGGACATGTGGAGGCTAGAAAGTAAATCGAACTTGGAATGGTTCTCAGCGTTGGTCGTGTGAATATATAAATGTTCAGCAAATGACCAATCACGCCGAACACTCCGATCATTATCACTGGCCACCGACCGAATGCTATTGACAACATATTGACATATGCCACGGCAGAGCTCAAATCAGGTGTACTGCTGTTCGATGCCATAATCTGTCACGACTGCAGTCGATACAGAAACGTTAAAAACTGATAGCAGTGTAGAAAATGTGTCTGTCTAGAAGCATAATTATTGAAAAAGACATGAAAAACACTTCTATTGTATAGGTACAGAATAATTATCAATGCAAGCATAGACTCATTAGATGTGCTAAAGAATATGTGTGCATGGAGTTGTTGCCGATTCACGTAGAAAGCATTGATAGTTTGTTCAGCAAACACTAAAGTGGTCACATTATTCTATACTGAAAAGTACACAACATACTGCACTAAGTGAGGATGAGTGAAGAGGGATCATGTCTGAGAAGTATATAGCGGTAAGACACTTCACCTTAAACAGGAAAACTCATGGTTGACTATTAGTGTTCTTCTGTTGTTTTTATTATCGCTCCAGCTTTTAGCCTAACACATCTCTTACTAACTATTACGAAATGAAAAAATATTTGAAGGCTGTCGCTGAATCTTTTCAAGTCAGCCTTCTATCGTAAGAAACTAAGTAGTATTTATGTAAGAAAGAAAGTGTAACGAAAAGTTGCATTGCTTATATACAACCGAAAGATGCTTCACATAGAAAGGATACCTACCCACATCCTCTCAGCTGTAGATGAAAATACATACGTCTGGCAGCTTCATTTATTATTATATTCTTTATTCCCTCCTACATATTGTTGAATCAGCGACGGAAAGACATTAGCTAGGATGTAAGTTGTCTTTATACATTAGAGAATGCTCGAATAACTATCAAAAGATATTATAATAGTTCTTGAAAAAATAAATTCTAATTATAAGATGTTTCTATCAACCTGAGAAAGCTTTTATGATTATGGAAAAGTTTTATAATAAATTTTGAGAAAAGAAATTCCATTCATAAAATGTTTCTATGAATCAGGGGATGCTCAAATGATTATGGAATGTGTAGGTTTGTTAGACTTGAACCTCACTAGAATTGGAAACTATCAAATTCGACTTTAACTGAATTGTGGCTGTTCCCAGTCGGAAAAAAAATGAAAAAGAACGCGAAATAAAAATCAGAAAAAGCATACACTTCTATGCGTATTTAATCGTTAAATCTCCACTTATTTAAAATGCGTACTTTTCCTGATTTTCATCCTTGTTAAGAATTTCTACACGTCATTACTCGTTAAATCTTTACTCGTTTAAAATGCGTCGAATTGTGTACTTTTCCTGATTTTCATCCTCGTTAACAATTTTATATGTCGTTACTCGTTAAATCTTTAGTTGTTTTGAGAACTTAAACATGTGTATTCTTTGTTATTTTTATCTTTGTTAACAATTTTATACGTCTTTTCTTGTTAAATCTTTAGTTATTTTGAGAACTTAGACATGCGTATTTTTTCTTATTTTTATCTTCATTAAAAAAAGAAAAACACTTCTGCTTTGTTTATTCGCATGAGCTGCTCACCATTGATATTCTACATGTATTAAACCAGATAATGATATTTATCTGGCTCGTATAATGCTTCGTGTATCTTCACATATCACTACATACTTAGAAAGCATTTATGAAAGGAATCAGTGCACTTATCATTTGCGAAGATAAGAATCTTGTACATCCGTTTATTCGAAGAAAAACACACGCTATATATAAGATGTTGGATTACCCTGTTAAGGATATGTCCAACAGGAGATCAAAAGAACAAGATGAGGAAAACTCCTATAACATATATGTAGTCGACAGAAAAGGAAAAATCCAAGAATGATATGGGAGAGAACGAGACAGGGTTGCCAAATCCAAGTTTTAGAAACTAGGGTTTTTTCGTTCAAAATCAGGAGAAAAATCAGGAAACTTTCTCCTGAAACCAGAAGGAAAATATGGTAGCGTCATGTACTTTATTTGCAAAAAAAGTAAAGCTTTTCACTCTCAAATATTTACAATTTTGAGTTTTGAATAAACGAGCAATGAAAAGGTCTGTCTTAATGAACGAAACAAAAACAAATAGAAAGATAATTACACATAGTTCATTTTACTGGTCTTTTCAAAGCTGTTTATTGAAAAATATAGACAAAACAGATACAAATGGATTTTAAGAAACTGCCAAAGAATTGAAACAGAACAGAGTAAACCGTTTCCTACTTCTTTTTTGATATTATTATTTCACTTCAGAAATTTTTATATTTTAATTTTGAATCCAACATCCATTAAAATCACTTTTCATTTTATTCCTATTATTTTATCATCAAAATTTTGTGTGACTGAAACTTGACTCTTAATTAGTTCTTTAAATTCATTATTTATTGATCTATATCAGTACTGGAACCAGATCGGTTGTAAAAAAAAGCAACCAGCCCATAAAGATGGGAATTTTACGGGTTGAAATTTTTCAAGAACTTTCTTTGTCGATTTTGTTTCCGGCCATAAAAAACTAAGATACCGCACAAATTTCTGATAAAGTTGGTAAAAAAGGAGACAAAACACAGGTTATTTAATTCTTTGTTGCGGGTTCACTTTAAAACGATGATTTTTGTTGGATGTCTCATACATGCTC